GTGAAAGTCTAACCAATCTGTAATCATATTGATTATTCATTTAATAGGGGAAATAAATGGAAATGCAATGACTCCATCATCTAGGGTGTCAGCTATAAACTTGGTGGGCGATCTTCTTCGGAAAGTGGGGGTGAGTAGTAGTAAAGCTTTAGCAGTATTTTGCACTCTTATCATTTTAGCAATTTGGGTATTCATTTTTGAAAGGCATATCGCTGTTGGTGTTTGTCTTAGTTAGTTTCTACAGTGAACCTATTTAATATTATTATTCAAAAATAATATTTTTTATGATTTCAATTTAAATAACTTCACTGTCCTTGTATAGTTCCTAAATTTGAATTGATACAACTTAATGTGATATTTCAATGTGCTTCAAATTATTTTGTTTTATTTTAAGTATTGTTATTTGTTAATTTGATTTATATTGTGTATTTGTTATATTTTTTATTTATTGTTGTATGCTTTTTATATATAAGTTAATAGAAAATATTTACTTTATATCCCATTATTTTTGTTTAGTACATAAAATGGAAATATGTAATATGTATATAGATTTACAGTATATAGAACAACTAGGGGTTGTTACGGTGGTAACGTAAAGCAAACAGGGTGCTAATTTCACTGCGCCATATTGATTTTTGTGCTTGCTGTATCACGTCAATACATTGTTCATAATTATGTATTTCTTATATATCTACTCGATAGAAAGTCCATATATATAAATAAATAAATATATGTATTTATTGAATTAAATATGTTAGGGTATTTTGAAAACAAAAGTAGCATTTTGAAATGTATATATTCTCAAATCTTGTTTGCAAATCGATAAAATAAAATCGCAAACGAAACGTGATAACTACCAAATAGCGAAACACATTTCTTTAGAACCATTAATTTGTCATGTATTTAAACAATCTGATTGTAATGATGAACATGATAACTGAATACACTAATTACATGTTCAATAATTTTTTTGTTTATGTAGCTTTATTCAACATTAAATTTTATTATATTTTTATCTATATTATTAAAACCACTGTTTTTAGATTGCGAAAAATGATTATTACTAGTATTCAAAGACATGTTGTGTTGCTTTTGTTTTCAGCGTCATGTATTATATAACAGCTTATCCGTAAAACGTGTAACTCGTAGTTTAGCTGAGCTAATTTTAATTTGCATGGTTGTGTACATTGTAGTGCATGGTATTTATTGCTTGCAGCTTGAGAGGTTTCTTTGCCGCGAATGTGGTAAGGTCAAATGCGCGTGTTTCACCGAGCAAAGTTCTCCACCTCACGAGTTCGTTGATCAAAAGGAATCAGAAAATTCAATTGATTCAGTTGAATTACGGAAACCGGAGTTAAAACCGCAAATAGAGACCAGACAAAGGTGCTCTGATCAACCGTTTCAAAGGTCCATACAAAACGATGGGAAGCTACGAAGATCCTTCATAGTGCGGTCCAGAGAGGGACTAGAACATTTCTTGAACTTAAAGAAAGGCCAAGAGAAAGAAAAAACGAATTTACAGTTTTGATAGCTTTATTTTTAGATATGTAATGTACAAATGGTGCTCATTAGATATTAATTCCGCATAAGAGGGTAGTTGTGAAAATGAATTAACATGAAACCTATGTATTTTATTCTTCTAGTTAAACGAACATATGTTATCCTAAAGTATACTATGGTGTAAACCAGGAATTGATTTTTAAATGTATTTTCACGTACTATGTACATCACAATTTCGTGTATATTGTATTTTTGTAAGTATTGTTAATGTAGAGTAGACGTTGAGGTGGAGGCTTTTGCACGTAACTTCATTACTAATAACATCATTCATATGTAATTTTCTTCATTGTAGGCTTTGGAATCAAAGTTAGCATCGTGTCGTGGTACGGTTAGACCTAAAGAGCATTCGCCAAACTCAGCTTCGGAAGTGAATAAGGACTACAGGTGTGTACTCAAGAACTAAGACTTGCCTATCTCCCGGTTTTTTATTTTATAGTATCATACATATGAATGCATATATATGAAAGCTTTGTAATGTGATCGTAATCACATTTCCTTACTATTATCTGTGATGATAATATAAGTTATTTTCGGCCTACCCACCGTTGACAGCCACGCTTTGCTTTGTGACGTCACGACCATCACAATACAGGCAAGTCGATATCATACCTAAGGGCAAACAATTTTCGATAGTCTATCATTCAGATATGTGTAGGAATATTGTATATTTTTTATCGGAGGTTTTATGTAAATAACATAGTACTATGAAATTGTTAGCACTAATAAAGTTTACGATGTGATCGATAGTTCCAATAGTTTTACAGGTAATGGTAGGTTCGGTAAAGGTATTTTCAAGATTTAATAACAAATATGAAAAATAATCAATTCATAATAACATGCATCAAATATTTTCTTATAAGGTTACAGTTCATTTTGAAGTAGGACTTTTAAACTTTAGTCGTAACTTATTGCGTAAATTATTAGTTTTTCCGTAAATGAACTTTTCTTTAAATAAATAAATTAAGAATGTATAAGATTTTACTAAAATTAATTTACGAGCGTCGTTAGACGGTGTCATGCAATAACAGTAACCAACCGTTATTCGTAAAATGTATATAGGGATTGAAATTAGTAGATGGTAGTTTCTTTTTTGAATGCAATCATTATAAATGGTTATCTTAATAGATTTACTTTAGCGTCTTAGCAAACATTCAGAAATGCTCAGCGTTCTTGATAATCTTACAGATATTTTTTTGTGACTAACATCAGTGAATACTAAATTAATTAACACAATCGTTTTTACATTCCTAATAGCATGGATTAAGTTGACTTTCTTGCCTTAGACAATATATAACATGTACAAATTACTGCATTCGATACGGCAGCCATTTAAATAGAAGTGATCTGAATTCTACTAGGCATAGTCAAATAATTATATTATTTTATGTGTATCGATTCTTAAGTGCTATTAAGTTATATTTAAATACTAGTTCTTATTTTAAGTCGGTAACTACTAATTCGTGGTTAATTGAAACGTGCTGTTTCTAATGAATTTTAAGATGATTTTGGATAAATGATGTGGTCAAAAATTTTAATTCCTATGTCGAAAATTGTATGTTAATTTTCACTATTGTTAGTTTGTTATAACCCAGTCTAATGCGAATAGTAATTATTAGCATTTATATTCACGTGTGGTGACAACACAATTTATATTTTTGTGCGGAAATAATATCAAAGTATAATAAATAAGTTCTGGCGTATGTGTTTTATTTAATTAAAAATAGGGTGTATCATTCCTTTTATATTATTTGAATTTTCGAAGTTGGTGGATCAAAGATAGCATAATTTTTGTTAAAACTATTACCAGTCTTAGTTAAATGTTTTTGTACAGACCAAGTTTTCGTAGACACCAATATGATACGTTCCTTTTCACGTATAAAAGGTAAATATAAACATTTACCTTAAATATTTTCAGTAATTCTATTCTTGCGATTTTGATACGTTAACTATTCTATTTACGTATTGTTCGTATTTTACAATAATAACAATACTTTATAACTCTAATACTATGTCTAAACTTATAAAAGTCGGTTGAGAAATTAAACTTAGTTTGAAATCACATATTTTTTTAATTAAATCAAAATGTCTCCAATAATACTTCATTTATTTATATTCATATAATTTGCTTTCCCGTAAACACGCTTGATATAATATTAGTCCATTCCACATCCTTCGTTATTTCAACTGGAGGCTTAAAATAGTTCATGAGTTTTTTCAACGGTTTATTAAATAATTTAATTTTTAGCACTAAATGCGATTCGCTACTCTGCTGTTCTTCAACATATATTTCTCCTGAAACATGTATTTAAATCAATCAATTTTCGATGCTTTAAAATAAATACTGGAAAAGGAAGTTTTATAAAATAATTCCAACATTACCAAGCAATTCAATTAAAAGATAACTTTAAATTATGTTTTATAATATTTAAAGTTCCAGAATATAGGGGGCAAACGAGGCCATAAAGTTTAGTCATCCCAGCCCATAGACACCCATTATAGGTGCCTTTGAGGCTCTCTTATAAATAGAGGTCGTATCTAGGGATGTGACATTCTGCATAAAAATCGATTTTTTTATTAATCGATTTTTTCCAAATTTTTGAATTAATTTCAAAATAAACACCCTAAATATTTAACTTTTCATGGTTTTTTTTAATTAAAAATAAACAATAGAAACTATAAACACAAATTAACGTTTAAGAATAATCAAAATCCAAATTAACTTAATCTCGTTTTGATAGATTTTACGTGAAATTTGATAAATGCTGAGTGTATGCCTTTTCAGTAGCACATTGCAGTATTTTTGTTGTCTTTTTAATTGTATGTAATCTTGTGCTGCTGAATAAATTTATTTTACTTTTAAATTATAGTGTTCCAGAAACTTGAGTTTTTGTAAAATTAACTGGTTTTATCATCCTTTCGATGTTTTACAAAAAAACATCAATGCATCTAGTATATCAATACATCTTCAAAGCATCGATGTATCGCATTGTAAACATCGATGTATGTATATCGAATATCCCTAATAGTTCGAGGTCCGGGTTATAAAAGACCAGACATAATGTCGGGAGGTGGCAGATAAAAATCGACTATGATTGATTTTCAATTATAAAAATAATCGATTATTTTAAATATCGAATCGATTTTTACTTTCGTATCTCCTAGGGTAGATCTTTATCGGGAGTCGATTCCACAGTTCGCAAAAGAAAATGCTTAGTGAAGTGGACCGTTAAAGACAGTATCATAATCATTATATAAATTTTTAATTACCTGCCAATTTAGGTGAGCGTGTTATCCATAATATAATAACATATAACGGTAGTGTTTGCACGAAGTGGATCAGTCTAGCCAAGACATACTGCGCTAATAGTGATAGCACGCGAAACTATAACGTAGAATATTATACAATTTATGAAGCGTTTAAATAACGATACACGTTATAATATTTTTATTTACCCTAAAATTAAAGAGGAATTAATTGTTTCACTATTTAATATTTATGTAGTACTAAAAACTCACTGAAATTGCTTTTAGAAAATCGCATCTGGGCCTCTTGCATTTCCTGACTTGTATACACGTTAAATGGGTGAAACAATAGACCAATTCAAATAGAAAAAATACTTTCGGTAACTTTAAGCGTGCTATTCTCAGTCTGAGATCGGTCAAAGCACCAATTGAATTCTCTTTCTAGGCGCGTAGTGGACATAAGTTCGTTGGAAAAAAAGAAAAAAACATTGTGAGGATACCTACATGTTGTAGATGCAATTTGACATGTCAGGCTAAGAAGACTTACTTGCCTATAAAACAAATTTAACGACCCATACAGTAGGACCAGGCCACTGCTTTAAGGAATTTATTGAAATATAATAGTACTACGGGCAACCGTGGCCCGTAAATCTTGAAAAATTATACCTAAACCTTCCTCATTTTAAGATACAGTCAAAACCATTTACAACCATATCGTTTAAAACATTACGTTTACGTACGTTTATATTGACCAAAATCAAAGGTCCCGGCTGCATTCTATTGTCTTTGGTACTTAATAACAACGTCATCGGTTTTTACGACCAAATATGAGTAGTCCCTTCGATGTCGATAAAACAGATTTTGACTGTAATTGATTTTATTGTTGCCAGACATGACGTATTTATATAAAAGCTAGACTAGATATTATGGTGTCATTGACTTGTACCATTATCCAGCATTACAACTTTCCTCTAGAACTCAATCATATCTCTCATCGTTAAAGCTGCGTTTGAAAAGTTTTGGAGAGTCTTTTAATTTTTCGGTTAACAGCATAAAACAAATAACCCAGCTTTCCATTGGTAAAATAATTTTTAAAAGCAACTACTACAACTTACGAACTATTTATAAAATTAGTATATATTATTATTGTTGCTAGCGACTTGATATAAAATCACTATGACGTGTTCTTAGTGAAATACCTATTTACTTACCATTGTAAAAACAATGTAGTACATAAGCGTTGTAGGCAGTAGGAGTAATAATATTGTAAAAGCTACGGTTCCCACAAATAGCTCCTGATTCGTGTATTCACATGAATCTATGCAATTTCTCAATGGATTGTACTTTCGTCCAACAAATAACCGTAGCATAGCAGTGAGGCCTGATATTTGTATGTTGAATAGTCTGAAGAGAGATATGTTGTTGATTAATGAAAAACCTATAACGTATAAATCTATAATAAACACTAAGTTTTGACACTGAGCTGTGTTGGTCTAGTGGCTTCAGCGTTTCTTCTCTCATCCCTGAGATCGTGGGTTCGAATGACGGCTGTGCACCAATGAAAACGTCGTGAGGAAACCGGCATGCCTTAAAAGTTGAGGGCGTGTGTCGGGCATAGAAGGCTAATCCTACTTACTTACTTGCCTATTAAGAAAAAACAAATAATGACGAAAACGGATACAGAGGCCCTTAAAAGGGCTTTGGCATGCTATATACTATGCCAGCCAAAGATTGAAATATATTTTTATTACTCCGAGTATCGGAGTCAGTGTTTTGACTCTAATTATTACTATTAAATAAAAAGTACCTATTTAAATGTATATTTCTATTAACCATTTGACTAGACGCGCGTATCAACTCTGAGTGCGTATGTTTGAATTCAGAATGTATACAAATTTATCTATGTGCAATTTTTTTTCATAGAAAAGTGGCAATCGGGCAGGAGACTCACCTGACCTTAAATGACACCGCCTAACTTACACTGCCAGAAGTGCCGCAAGTGCGTATGTCAGTACGCTCCTTTCCTTTTTCCTTTTGAAGGTCCCTAAGTGGAATTGGTTCGAAAGCAGATCTTAAAACCCAAAATCGACTAATATAAAGAAAAATTATCAAAATTGAAACACAAAAATCTGAAGCCAAGACCAATGATTGTAATTTTATTTTTGATTTATTTACCTTGCTGCATAAACATAAATGCAATATGAATGAAATGTTGTTACACACAACATATCTGATATAATAGCAGCTTGGAACGTCAGTCCTAAGTAACCCAAGTATTGATAAATATGCAATATTAAATCCAATCGTTCACTTGATACATCTGCAATTTCATTACGCTTCATTATATAAACTTAACTTTCAATATTAAACTTATACTAGGTGGTAGGGGAGCCCAAGAGGGGATTTCGGGATTTACTAAAGCGCGGCAGATTAATATATAGGGGGATACCTTGTACCCGGTTAAGTACCTCCACAAAATATGAGGCCCATATATAAGGCCGCACGTGAAGGAGACAGGATCAGTTTAGTAAAAAAAAAATTGACCATCAGAAATTCCCGAGCGCGTCAGATTAAGGTAGGGTGAGTTAATTACATCCTAAAAAGTGTATATTCCACTAATCTGACAATTTGAGAGTGACGGAAAAAAAGGGGAGGGCAACAAAGTTGTAAAAAAAAAACGTCATCTCGACATTCTCGAGCGTAGCTAATTTTTTTTTATTTTGAAGGAAATAATTCAAGAATAATGAAAAATATATAATCTGACGATTTCCGCAAGCCGAAATAACAAAAATTCGTCGATAAAGTTAAATGCGTGCAGCTGCGTGATGCCTACATTTCCTTAAACCGATCGGAATCTACTAAACGGCGTTCTAAATATTTCCCTCAAAATTACATTTTCTGTGAATTTGAACCGATTCGGACCGATAGATTTTGAGAAATTTTGAAAAATCTTAAAAAAATAAGAAATATTTTTTTTTAAAGTGGTTTCTTTATCGATCAACTTCAAAAACTAATCCGCCTTTGAGCTTGAAAAACCACGTCGATCGCCACCAAGCTGGTCAAAAGCGGTTGATTCGTTCGAGAGATATCGTATACGAAAGAAACCCGAAAAAGTGTTTAATCGGGATTACTCCGAAATTTGTGGTTCGATCAATTAAAATTGCAAAATCACTTATGAGAATGATAAAACTGCGTCGAATGCCGCCAACCGCGTGAAAATTGCTTGATCCATTCAAAAGTTATTGAGGTTTGAAAATTCCAAAAATAGTGTTCTATGAAACTTCTATCAGACTTTCGAGCTGGGAGAGCTCAAATGCATAGAAATGTTATTTCTTTGAACTCAGCGAGCTCAAAATATCAATTTTAAGCGCCCAGGAATGGAATTAGCGGGAAGTTGCAGGGATGGCCCTTTAGGTGAACCGTTTTTCTATTTTTTTTTTGTCAGATCAGGCGAATCCCTCTAGATAATCGTCAGATTATGAGACAGTACGTTTAGAACATAAAGAGGAACCACATATATCTTAATCTGACGCGCTTGAGTATTTCAAAATTGCGATTTTTTTTTTGCAAATTAAGAAAATGGCTGTGGGTTTGCGTCCCATCGAAATCGTCAGATTAGTGAATGAGAGCTTTTTTTTGGTGCACTTAACACTCCCTTAGAAAATCTGACGCGCTCGATAAATTTTTTTTTTTTTTAATTTTCAACCCTTAAATACAACCACCCGCATCATGCAAACGATCAGATTAACATACGTACATTATTAAAAATACGTAGGGCATAGATGCTATCAATATCTGACGCGCTCGAGGATGTCCATGCAACAGTTTTTTTTTACATATTTAACTATCTATAGCCGCTTCCCCCACCGATGAAAAGGAATTTATCATATAACATTTTTTTCTTCTTTTTATCTAAGCTTTGCATCCCAATAGGTCTCTACGACGCTCGAGTAAATCCCCATTTAGCATCGTGGGCTCCCCTACCATAGGTGGCACTGAACATTTTTAGAATCGGCCAGTTGGCAATGACAACTTTTGAATTTCGAATACAACTCTTTGGCTATGTAATGCAATCATTTGTTTTTGTGAATTGGCGGTAATTTGACTAGTCTTGCAACAATAAAAAAAAATTAAAACGAGATTTTTTTTCAGTTGTTCACAGTGGTTCCCATTGGGCATTGAACGATTTTAAGTTTTAACACAGACAACTTCGAAAAACCAATAAAAGTGATAGCAACTTCTACATTAAGTTTTTTTAAAGATTTATAGCACATAAAAGGTACACATTTATTTTAGTTTTAGGGTATATTTAGTAAGCCTTTGATTAAGATGCAAATTGGAGAAAGACAATTTTTTTACTGAATCTGGATATTACCTATATATGTATATTATTATTTTTCTTATTAATATCAATTGTTCATCAGTAACATACCATTTATAAACATAGCATTATCATACTATAAACATATTTTAAACTTTATTGATAATGGTTCTTTTTTCCTGGGAACACTTTAAATATTACAGTGAAATGATTTATTAATACAATAAAACTCTTCTCACCCAAAAACAACCACCATAATTCCACATGGTATGAGAAATATTTACCCAGCATTTTATTAAATGCATTATTCAACTTTAATCCTGCTGGAGCTCCCATTAGCCATTTTAGTAGTGAATACATAGAGTTTACCAATTTCTGGAAAACTTAAATATATTATTACCTATATTTATATTAGTCAGAATGAGACTTAAAGTGAAACCTAATTTAAAGTAATTATTAACTTGAAAATATACTAATTTGGGTTAGTTGCAACTGATATTCTTCTAAGAATATGAAATGCCAATTTTTTATAATTATTAGTTATCTTATAATTTAGGGAAAATTTTGCTGAGATTATACTGCTGCATTAACATTTAGATTCTTGCTATAACTAAATTAATAATACTATAAATGAAAGGTACAACTGCCTACCTCTAAAATTCCAAGTAAGAGTACACCAATTTCTTTCCTATCGTAAAATAATATTTCCAAGATATAATAACCCAAAATTATATCAATAACTAATGCTAAAATATAATTTCCTTGTTTTATTGATATCTAGAATTTAGAAAATTATGTTTAAAACTTGTGCATTAGATTATGTGTGGTGGTTTGGACATCAAATAACTTTTAGGAGAATTCTAAAAACTAGGTATTTTTGTGCAATCTTTTAATTTAAGCCTGCACACAATACCCCTGATACATATGTTATTTATAGCTAATGTGAAAAACATTTTAATAACAACTTAACAGGCAATTATATCATATAATTATATACTTACTTTTTCCTTTTTTCTCAATGTATTTTTTAACCAATTTAATAAATTAATACAGTTGAAAATATGTTGAATAAACATTGAAGAAGAAAACATATGTGGTATTCTAAATTTAGGTGCATACTCAGCAATATTTTGAGGATGATTGCTTTTTCTTTTAACTAATTCTCTAACATATATAAGTTCTTTGCAAGATATATCTAATGTTTCTGAATTGATGACTTTGTTAATATCATAACATATAAAAATAAACTTGCAACCTTGAATTACTTTACCATTTACGACTAATTCAGTGACCCTAGGATTAACAGAATCATATAAACAAATCTTATTTTTAATGTTTTTGTTCATTAATTGTGATGGTTCATTACGGAAATAGCCAAAGATAGTGGTGTCATCATCAGCTGATAATTTCTCATCTAGATTCTGCTGCAATTCAAAACTCTCTGTGAAATAAATATTGGAATGGCACTTGTCGTCTTGGGTAATGTAACCTTTTAATAATGTTTCCTTGCCATTCTGAGGCATGTTAGGAATAAGAACTTTAAAATATTCCATTTTTGAAGGAAACAATTTTTGTAAACAATTCAACCTCTAACGAGTTGCAATGATTTATTGAACCTACTCTAGGCCGTAAATCATATTCTTGCTGTTTAAAATATATTAAGACAGAATAATAATATCAATTCATATCAGGTATTTGGAATACAATTTATTTTGATATATTATCTTTATAAAATATTTTCTGAGGTCTGGATCCTGGATTGAAAACTCGCATCTCCCGTCACACCTGTGAGTTGTGACTTGTGACGCGAGTGACGACACAGGTCACAGACTAAGGCCGAGTTTTGTCATTATAATGTGATCAAATAAAGTTGTCAAAGTATTAACAAAAGTTTTAGAAATTATGCATAAAATTTAAATTTGTCTCAAATATTTCTTCTACGTTACAGTGGTAAAAGAAAATTATGAAAGAATACTTAATTTCATAGTATTTAAAAAGCTGAAATGCATCCTCATGCATTCTTTTAATAAATGAGTTTACGACCACCACATAAAAAAAAGGATGCGTGTACTTATGAACCTACGCGCGTAAGAAGTTATACTTCTTTGGCTTACTTTATTTTTTTAAAATTTGAAATAATTAATAACAAATATTTAACGTTAATAATTTAATAATATTTAGTATATTATTCAATTATTAATTAATAATAATAATTATTATTATTTATTATTTCATTATATTATTAATTCAATTTAATAACTACGTATGTTACATAACCTTTTAACTAAGTAACAATAGGTCTTTGTGAAAAAGCATTGCTAAATTTCTTTGAAAAAATAATAAAAACTCCTTTATTTGTTTAAAAGGTAAATGTCATTATGTTCATTCAAAATTCTTGGCATAGCTGCTAACTTCACGCATATTCTTTTTCTTTTTACTTGGAGGTTATCTTATTCCCATTTCGCTCGCGCACGCTATAATCACACTGACAACTTTGTGTCTTAGGTGCGCGTGCATCGTAAAATTTCAGTCTCATCAATTTTTCATAACGCACCTAAAGAAGTATAACTTCAAAAAGGATATGAGTGAAAATTGCTATTTCGTTCATATTTCACAGAAGTCGTAACATCTAGAGTAGAACAGGTGGGAGTTTAATTTTTAAATAGTTTCTATGCCCAAGTGTCATTTTATTATAATGTAATATATTTTCTCATACAAGTAAACACAAAGTTTTCAAGTATTATTTGCGTTTTAATTAATTGCTTGCATGTTATCGAATGTCTTCTACCACCTAAAACTTATCTTAATGTGTAAAGTGGAAATAAACAATGTTTCTGAAAGCTTTATATATGTAGGTTGGCATTTGTTTTGTATCATACTTTATTAATAAAAATAAATTGCGGACCAGTAGTTACTATATTTTAAAATAAGAACTATTTATTCCGTATAAATACTTAAAGTTTAGATGACAAAAAACATTTGCAGCATAATATGTAGAAAAGAATGGAATTCTGAATGCAAATCACATTTATGTTATCACTGCCTAAAGCATTCTGAGGAGACCGAAACAGGTGCAAATCAGAAGGTCGAGGCTTTTACATGATAGGTGTTAACACCTCCTAGCCAAATTTTTCGAAAAAGTTCCCCGAACCCCCGTAAAAAATCAATAACATCTTTTATTATATTATATATTAGGCGGTATTTACGGTAATAAGATCTTTCACACGATACATCATCATAATATACCAATCTGATTATAATTCACAAAATGTAATTGTATTATTATGTATCTGTTATTTTAGTTCTTATATATAATCTATGTATCTACAAGGAAGAGCGCGCTGCGCGATGTGTGGAGCGCCATTTTGCTTGGTTGGCTAATGCTTCTGCTTACGAAAGACAAAAATTCATTGAAGCTTGCAGCAGCACAAAAATCTTTTTTTAAATACAATATTCATAATGATCTAAATATAAGTGTGTGTGGTTGATTTTCAGTGTTGTTCTCTAAGTTGCTTATTTTAGAGGAAACAATTATACCACCATGTCTGCTCACGAGCAAATGAGGGCAATGTTGGATCAATTAATGGGAACATCACGCAATGGTTTGAAATTTTTATAATTTTTACATGAGGGTTCATGTTTTACAGACTTCAGAAACTATATTTAATAACCTAGACTAAATCGTGCCATTTAAATGTTCTCCTCTTATGTTTAGGAATTGTAATGGTTCCGAAAATCAATATTTAAGACCAAATATGTTACAACCCATTATTTGAAATGCTCCACAACACTTCACTATCAAATTATTAAAATTAAAACCTACAATTGTTCTTATTTGATTGCTATTATTTCAGGGGAAACTGACAAACATGGTGTGAAGTTCTATGATGATTCTGTATGCAAATCCTTTTTACTCCAGTGCTGCCCTCACGAAATTTTATCATCAACGGTGAGATAATTTTTCATTATAAGTAGTGGGTTTTTGGGGTGTTCAAATTTAATCCATTTTGTTTTCGTATATATTTGAAATTCAATATAAGCGTCACAATAAATTATAGCTGTTAAGGGTTTTAAGAAATCAAAAATAAAATTAGGTTTTCATAAAACATGCATACATTAGAATTTTATTTAAAGTGTTTAAGAAATAAAATGGTCTTAATGTGTGCAATTCATTAACAACCACCTTTTGCATAACAATGCTATAGTCCCTCAATTTCTTTTCATTAGAGTGGCTTGTAACTATGGTGAAATATGCTTTTCAGAAAATGCCCAACACTAGTCTTTATTGCTCATCACAATACAGTTTAACAGATGAGGGATAAATTGTATGAGTTAGGCTGTTCTGTAAGTACCAAGATGTACGTATAAAAACATTTCTAGTTAGCTGATTGTATTCATACTGCTATGCAGGTTTAATTTAATGGAACACTAAGCTTAAATTTAAATTTTTAATTTGTCCTTCGGTTTCTATTGCTGCTGTGGTGAGTACATTGTTAAAATCATAAAAATTTAAAGTCGGGGAGGAAATTGCTGATTCCAATTCACCATTGGGTATGTACTGTGCTGTTTACGAGGCTAGAGTTAAAAATAAATAAAAGTGTGCATGAAATATCGTACTGCAAGAGAAAAATTATCACTTTCTTAATATCTTAATTACATGAGCAAACTTATTTATACATGCCTTATGAATAAAATTAGAAAATTCTCCTAAAACCTTTTTGTTGGTCTTCTTCACATGTTTCTAGCATTTTATTTTGAACAATAAATGCAAGAGCCTAATATATTTAGTATAGGTATTACCTTATAAGGTACATTCAGTTACATATTCTAACCATTTTTCTGTTTATCTATTGTTGGGTCTACATAGGTAGTTAAGAAATTAACGAGGTTGTTTTGCTGAGTTTTGTAAGTATAAAATATAACTAAGTGCCGCCGATAACCATATAGAGGATTTGCTGTGTTGGTGAATTTTGTATGTATTTTTAAATTTATTAGCGTCAATAGGGGTTTGATGTTTTATATTTATTATAGGTACTACTGGTTATTAGATTCTATGGGTTTTCAACGTTCTTTATAGGCAGGTTTCATACAGTTTTATAGAACAAAATTGTAGTACATTTCTTATTATAATTATTAAGACATGTACATTAATGATTATTTTGTTTCAAATGATATAAGATTTACTACATTTATCATTAAATTAACTATAATTAAATGTGGTATGACGGAAAAAAGATGTACACATAATGTTTAAATAAGAAATTACTTTTACAGAGTAATTTCAAGATATTAAAATTTTGGATATTTTATGTTATCCTTGATTGCTCTATGACTTTCTTCTTGTTATCCATAATGATTTAAATTACAGCGCATGGACTTAGGTGAGTGTCCAAAAATACATGACTTGGCTCTTCGCGCCGACTATGAGCTTGCCTCCAAAACCAAAGACTACTACTACGATATTGATGTGAGTATATTTTGATAAATGTTTTATATCTTTTATTGATATCCATCCATATATATATATATATAGCTTTTGGCGTGTCGGTGTGTTTATAACATACCAGTAGCACTAAATATTGCTTAAAGGTTTACATTGATATCCTCTGATATAATAAGAAATTTAAAAAATACACTATTTAATGAAAAAATCCCTTCACCATTAAAATAATAGTATTCTACAATGAACAGGACAATGTTGCACCATTTTAGAGCAAATTTATAATAGCCTCTGATTGCCTTAAATTCAAAGTGAAACTTTGGTAAGCATATTTTTGCTTGAATTTTTTATTATGTTTATATATATGTGATTGTGCACCAAATCTCTTATGATATTTGTATTGTCTGTAGTCTAATATGGTCACATGATTTTCTATAGGCCACAGAACATTTAGAGGCTTTCATACAAGACTGTGACCGTCGTACGACGGCAGCGAAACAACGTTTAGCTGAAACACAAGAGGAGTTGTCAGCAGAGGTGACTGAAAAGGCCAATTCTGTTCACGAATTGGCCGAGCAGATTGGTCAGAAGTTGGCCAGGGCTGAAGCTCTCGGAGAGGAGGGAATGGTTGAAGAAAGTGTCAAATTAATGGGAGAGGTAGGTTTTTAGAATATAATATTGAGTTCAAGGTTATATTTTTAATATTAGAAGTGGTTTCCAAATAGTGCTTTCATCTACACTAATATTATAAAGAGATAAATATATATATATTTGTTTGTTGGCATAGGCTCTAAAACTACTGGACGGATTTGAATTATTCTCTCGCCTGTAGAATGTTTTCAAAATGTTAAGAATCTCCAGACTGAGAAAAAATACCAATTATTTGTCAAAATACCAAATGCTATATCGTGTACGCTGCGAAAATTATTCACAATAAAGTGATGTTCTACTAAAACCATCAATATCTACGTAAAAGTTCGAGATACCATATTATGTTTATTACATATGTAAATTCAGCCGTCTTTGGGCTGCGATTACAAAAAAAATTGTTCAAGCTTGAAGTATTTTTACATAAGTGTAGTAGTTACATAGTATTTAATTTTCCTAAGTGTGCGAATAACACTTAAAATTTAATTAACATCGCCTTGATGGTTGGAGCCACAGCCGTTTCACAAGGCACTTTTTTTTCGGCCTAGGGGAATGGGGGAATGGCCCCCGGGGGGGGGTTTTACTAAGAAAAAAAAAAACTATAAATTAGACACCCTCAAAGGCGGAGAACCACTAAAGACAGGTGCCCTTGGTTCGGCTGCCCTTTTTCGGCGTACCGTAGGCTTTATATAAAAAAATGTGCGTGCGTACAAAGTACACATGTTAGAAGTGAAACTTCTTTGACAAAATAATTTTTAAAAGTTATACAAATCTAAAACTTTAGATTTCCGAGACTTAGTGGGAGGGAAAAAGGAAGATATGTTAGGAATTTAATTGTCATTAAAATATCAAGTGTCAAAAATTCATACTAATTATATTTATTTTTTTAATTTATTTCTTCGATAATAAAAACACGTGGAATTTTAATTTACAATTCGTCATTTGATGTTTCAATAAATTATTTTGCATATTTCATAAATTCTCTTTACGAAATTTTAATTTTAAAAATAGAATTTCTATAAGGAAATTCGCCCTTCTCACTTTCTCTCAATCGATCTCAATCGCTCTCTTCTTTTTCTTCGTCAAAAATGCTGCACATCTTCGTGACGCTAATATTATTATCATTGCGTTTCATCCGTTAAAATTTTACCCTCATGGGCCTAAAGAAATTTCACTTCAAAAAACATGAAGCATGCGTTCGTTGCATAAATTATTATGTAATTTAAATTATGAAAATACATGCAATCTAAGTGTCACTGGATTATAATTTAATGTGAATCAATAAAAATATACATATTGTTTATTTGTAATAAATTTAGAGTTATATAATTTTAATCTATATAAATTATCAAAACATTATCTTAAACACAAAACCGAAAATTAAAATCTAACAAACCATATTAATAGGTTTGATAAAAAGAAGTTTTTATATTTATAATAAACTTCAACAGATCGACGAGTTACGTAAACGCAAGGCAGTAGCCGAGCAAGAGTACCGCAATTCGATGCCCGCGTCGTCCTACCAACAGCAGAAGTTGCGTGTGTGCGAAGTGTGCTCCGCGTATCTCGGTATCCATGACAACGACCGACGACTCGCCGACCATTTTGGTGGCAAGTTGCATCTGGGATTTATTACCATTCGGGAGAAGCTTGCAGAGTTAAAGGTAAGCGCTAATACATATATTATGCGATACTTAAGATTCCATGGGAGGGTTCTTCATATATTTCCTAGCTGCATACATGTCTACTACTAGTAAAAATTTAATAAAAGTGAATAGTAAAAAAAAAAAAAGACATTTTCCTAAAAGTTGGAGTGATCAGCACAGAGTTTAGGATCATAGGTTACATAGTCACATATTGGATAATGTATGAGAAAAAATGTTGGCAAAAAGTAAATATTTGTAACAACAGGAATGAAAAAACTGTCACATGGTGTGCATTTTCTCGGAATAACAAAAATATCCATAACTTCAAAAATACATGACAATTTTTTTTTTTTATTTTTAGTATAACTGGTGTGGCATTACTTTGTGAAAAATTCGTACTTGACGTCGATTATGTATCATATAATTACTACTATATTACTGTCAAATTACCTAAAAAGGCTAATCATAAATAGGTAGACCAAAATTTTACATGCTTTGTTTTTTACTAGAAAAAATTCTATTTTTTTAAATAGCTTTACTTTGATAAATATTTACCATTGCTACACAACCGTAAATAATATTGTTTTATATAGAAAACGGTGGAAAAGCGTCGCGAAGATCGTGGAGCGGAGCGTGAGCGTAGTAGCGGAGGGCGAAGACATTACGTCGGAGGGAGGGAGTTAGATCGACGTGCGCGCAGACACAGGGAGGTGCCACGGGAGAGGAAGGATGAGCGTGAACGCACTGAACGTGACCGCGGAGAACGTGAGCGTGATCGTGGGCGTGACCGCGAAAGAGAGCGAGAAAAGAAGTAATTATTGCATTTTATTGGCTTAACAATTTTGGGACGCTTAATTTTTATTACAAAAAGTCTAATAAGTGCGAGTATTAAATCAATATTAAGAATTATTTATCTTGTGTTAAATGGATATAATGTTTTAATTGTATATCCTTTACTGAATAATGTTATCGGAAAATACCTGATTTTCCAGAAATAATTATTTTATTATGAACTTTGTATCTTGTAGTCCATGGATACTATCCCTTTTAAAATTAGGCGTAACTATATCTTAATTTCAGACGCTCCAGATCTCGCAGTAAGAACAGACGCGAATCGCGTGAGAAGTCTCGCGGTCGGGATCGAGACGCGCGTCGCAGTCGCTCGAATCGCTCTAATTCACGCGAAAGGCGGAGGGAATAAACTATATAAATAGGTCTATTTTAACAATTATTTAAGTTGCTCCATTTAGTGGTAACAGAAATACAGTGTAAATTCTATATAGAGTTGTAAGCACAGAGTATAAAAACCAAAGTCGAGTAAAGGTTTATGGAGTTTGACGTTGCATAGAGTTTGCACTGTTACTGTATAACAGATTTAATTTTATTTTGTAGCTGACTTTGTAAACAATGATGGCATGAAGAGCTTTATGGTTTTTATCACAGTGCGTAAATACCCTAAATAATATAAATGACAATATGCTTGCTTATTTGACCATTTTTAAACGCTTTAGTGAAAATAAATATATTCTAGTTTCAGCCATTCTACACTAGGTATAAGATCTCATAGAATATCACATAGACATCTTTTTATTTTGCCTAAGCTATAGAAATGTTTAATTTTATGCAAATTAGTTTATTTCTCAGTGCTATTATATTATGTTCTTTATTCCCATATATATGCTTTTATATGTGTTTCCAAATTTTCACAAATAGTTAGCTTGTATTAAATCTTGCTTAATTTATAGAAATGCGTTAATTTATTCGCTCTGCCAAGTTTGACAAAGTATCAATAATAAAACATGTACAGCATATATTTGAATGAAACTTTTTAATGCGGTTTTTCGCACAAAACAGATGTTTTATACTAATATGACCGGTATTAAGCGTTAAAACTTTGTCAAACAAATTAAATAAGATTAATTGATAGCCAACCCGTTGACCAGGGGCAGGGGTTTCTAACTTGAATAAAGCTAAGTTTATTCTCTATGAAATATATTAGAAGACTGTTGAATTGTATTTTCATTGCATTCTTCAATGTGTTAGTCTTAATTTTGGTAAAGTGGGAAAAAATATTTCGAGGATTTACTAAATTTATTGTAAAACAGAGTACTGAAAATATTTATTTAATATAATTTGTTTCAATAGAAAAAATATAATATAACTGATCTTCTCCTCTTTTAAAAGTTACCTTTAAACTTGTCAACGTTAAGGGTTCTTCAATATATTATTTTACTTTTGTAATTTCTGCACTGACATTAGTATGCATATTATAATTTCATTTCTGATATTGCCATCACAATTTTGTGACGCGAGGTAAGCCAGTCTGTTACTGTTAATTAGTTTATGATATCTTTGTGTTAAAATAAAATTATAAAAATACAAATTTGTGTTTATTATACCTCAGAATCTTCTTCTTCTAAAATGAATGATCATGGAGAGAGAGCTCATTCTTTCAATTTGAGTTGATAGTTGATACTACTCGGCCTCCGAAACGAGAAAATTCCAGCGGTCCCTGTACTGTGCCACCTTCCGTTAATTGATGGCTTACAGCTGCATCAGGTTCTCCACTCTGTCGATCCAGCGATACCTAGACTTAGGGCCGATTTACATTATCTCAGTGTTTAGCAGAGTGCTTTAGGATAGTACTTTAGTTGAAACATGTAAACGCTACTTGCTTTAGTACGGTTCAACTTGACTTTCAAGTTGAATCAAAATAGAATCGCTTTTTATTTTTGTTTCAAGTGATACCCTTCCCGCGCCCGCGTAACCCCCGAGATCTTCCCTCGTCGTGTGTAAACACGTAATTTAGTAAAATCTTTAGGAGAGTGCACAAGTGCCGTGAAACGCGTGCGTGTTTTTTTATTTTTAAAGATGGCTAAATGGTCGGAATTTATACAAAAACAAACAGGCTAGGCATTCGGCACACACTGCCTAAAAAGAAGCTATTTTATTTATAATTAGTATTTAGTTTATTTATTTCGAATAAAATCTCGTCTTCTATTTGTTCCATAACGACAGTATTTTGCGTAGAATAGAGCGTATTTGCCGACGTCGTTGTCCGTTCATTGTGGCGCTGTAATGATACTAGGGATGCGACATTCTGCATAAAAAAATCGTTTTTTATTAATCGATTTTTTTTTTAGCATGAATCGATTAATAAATAACGATTAAATATTTTATTTTTCATGGTTTTTTTAATTAAAAATAAACAATAGAAATTATAAACACAAATTAACGTTTAAGAATAATCAAAATCGAAATTAACTTAATCTCGTTTTGATAGATTTTAGGTGAAATTTGATAAATACTGAGTAGAGTATTTTTGTTGTCTTTTTAATTGTATGTAATCTTGTGCTGCTGAATAAATTTATTTTACTTTTAAATTATAGTGTTCCATTCAAACTTGAGTTTTTGTAAAATTAACTGGTTTATCATCCTTTCGATGTTGTACAAAAAAACATCAATGCATCGAGTATATCAATACATCTTCAAAGAATCGGATTCTATGTATCGCATTGTAAGCATCGATGTATATCGAATATCCCGAATAGTTCGAGGTCCGGGTTATAAAAGACCAGACATAATCTCGGGAGGTGGCAGATGAAAAATCGACTATGATTGATTTTCAATCATAAAAATATAAAAATCGCGTAAAAAAATCGATTATTTTTTCACATCCCTAAATGATACTCTACTGGAAGAAATGTAAACGTTCACTCGCAGCGCACTAAAGCACTTGCCTTTCAAGTTGTACTAAAATACTCTCCTAAACACTAAGATAATGTAAATCGGCCCTTACATACTGGTCGCCGACCACTACGCCGGCTCAGGTAAGCTTCCTTCAACACCCGACTTGGCACATGCGCTCCGCCACCACCAGTAACTTCTGCTCCTCTTTTATAGTTTAGTAGTTTAAAAGAGGCACAATTCCATCACATGTACAAGATTTTTTATTTTTAAATCGATGGTCCGATCGTAAGTACGTGTAGCCTTCGTCTGAAATTAGTGCGTTAAACCAAAGAAATTTATTGTTAATACAATTGGTTGGCCAATGTGTACAAGTGGCCAAATGGTTTCCCCATCATGGAAATCTACGTGTATATTAGGTCCTTGCATATGAAATTGGCGTATTTCGTACTGGCCACTTTAATCACGATGTTCTCTTCTTTGGTAAGAAATTCCAAATTCAAATTTGTACAGCTATTTACTCATGTATTTGTGCTTCGATGACCGTCATTCATTTGTTTTTTTTCTGTTTGCGTCACTCATTTTACAAAATGGAAAACTTAAAGTATCGCATTATTTAAGAGTACGAGTTCCGCCGTGGCACTAGTGCTACGGAAACGACTCGAAGGGTGAATGATGTGTATGGCGGTCAAGTTGCAAAAGAAAACACAGTTCGTTTTTGGTTCCAACGTTTTCGTTCTGGAAATTTCGACCTGCAGAACAAGCCCCGTGGACGGCCTGAGACCCAAGTTGATAATGAAGTATTGAAGGCTATTGTGGAAGCGGATCCATCGCAAACCACGTCCGAGTTAGCTGCAGGCTGCGGTGTTAGTGATTAAACTGTTTTAATTCACTTGAAGCAAATTGGGAAGATTAAAAAGCTTGAAAGATGGGTACCTCACGAATTGACTGAAGCAAACCGGCAAACGCGCGTCGACTGCTGCGTTACATTACTGAACCGGCACAATAATGAAGGTATTTTAAACCGAATCATTACCTGTGATGAAAAATGGATTCTTTACGATAATCGGAAGCGCTCAGCGCAATGGTTGGATCCTGGCCAGCCAGCCAAATCCTGCCCCAAGCGAAAATTAACCCCAAAAAAGTTACTTGTAAGCGTTTGGTGGACTAGTGCCGGTATTGTTCATTGCAGTTTTCTCAAATCTGGCCAGAATATTACGGCTGATGTCTATTGTCAGCAATTGCAAACCTAGCGGCTAAACAACCTAGACTGGTCAATCGCTCCACGCCACTGCTACTTCACGACAACGCTAGACCACACACTGCACAACAGACGGCTACCAAATTAGAAGAGATGTCTAAGATATCCTCCGTACTCCCCGGACCTTGCTCCAACAGATTACCATTTTTTTCGAAATTTGGACAACTTCTTGCAAAGGAAAAATTTAACTCTGATGGTGCAGTCCAAATCGCCTTCACAGATTTTATTGATTCCCGTCCGTTTTTTTTTTTTAGTAAAGGGATCAATGAACTACCTATGAGATGGCCAAAGTGCATAGAAAACATTGGTTCATACTTTGATTAATTAAATATATTATATTTAAAAATATTAGATTTTTTGTTCCTCCCATACAAAACTTCATTTTCATAGGGACCTAATATATATATAGGGATAGCAAAATAAAACTTCAGTTTGCATTTTATGCTACTTTTAATTCATTTTAAGAGCTAACTATGGCAAAGATAAACTAACCATTCCAAACCATAACATGTTCAACCCAGAGATTCTTAATAAATCACTTCAATATTGTTATATATATATATATATATATATATATATATGGAATATACGGAAAACAATATGTTTGCTGAAAGTTAATACCTTTCGATTTAACATCTGTCTATATTGGCTAATTAATTTCGGTATCAATTAACAGCCGAACTTTGTTTAAGTAAACTAATAAGTAGGAAAATGTATAAGGTACTGCTATTATGTCTTAAACACGCTATAATTAACTCAATAATTGTGATATAATATTATGCATTTAAATCATTGCATTTCGTTGTTATAAATAATTGTGTAGATAAAGGATCTTCAAAATTTGGTTACTACTGTAACACGTAATCTTTATATTACATACACGCAATTATTATTATTTATTAGAATATATACATATTCTGTCAAGTCTTAAAAGTTCTATTAGAATACGCATATATCGTAGAATATAGTAACATTAGCACCCATATAAAATAATTTGATAAGTACAGTAAAATTGATATAAAAATGAGATTAACGAAACATTGAGATCAAACTTAAAACAAGATTTGAATGGTATAGGCATAGTAAGCGTATTTATAAAGTATAAGAAAAAGAAAATCCGGCTTGAAGGACCATAACATTGTTATATACACATAGCCTCTTATGAATACTTCCACTACCGTGCTAACTACAAAATGCTACATTCCAAATAACTTGGACGCAATTGAACTATTACAACTATTTAAAATATTAATGTGGCACTACGAGTTTTATATTAATACCATTGATAATTTCCGAAACATGAAGGTTTAAAAATAATACATGTTTAAAAAATTTAATAAAACGCTTTCGGGGCACAAAGTAAAATTAACAAAACGCACTCCTGCTAATTCTGAATATATATATTATATGCCCAATGGGGGTCAGTCGAAACATTAACAGTCACACATAGTGACAGACAGTAATTATTAGGCCATTTTGACAATCAAAAGACGTTTAAATGTATAAGGAATTCTTATGCTCATAACTTACTATTATTTAAATGATATTTCTGATATTTCATGTAGTTTAATCATGAGCACTAAGGTCCATATTCTAAAACGTATGTCAAGTCACAAGTCTTGAGCGCTGTCATATATGTCAAACTTCATACATAATAAATGGATGGACAGCTCCTGAAACTAGAAAGTTCTAGACTTCGGAGCTAAGACTATCATACGTAGTCAAAAAACGGATTGACAGTTGAGATTACACTTTTTGAGGTGTTGATCTTGATTAGCGTTTTAGAATACTGCCTGTGGGTTTTATAAAGAAAATCCCTAATATTAGGCCCGTATCATAAAATTTTATATTATTAATATTCTGTCAATGTTTGACGTGCTATTTAATTTTGATTTTATGCAGTTTCAGCTTAAAACCTAACATTTCAGAGAGAACTCCTGATAATGCGGATAGAATCACTACCTTCGTTATTGTGTATAAATAGTGGTTCGCGCATATTCCAGATATTTTGTAGGGAGAGTCTAGTTCCTGAAAAAAATGGCAACATATTTATAATTTAGAATTAAAATGTTTGTTAACAAGTTCAGCAGTAAAAACTATACTGCTGAACATGTTAACGAACTCTTTATCATCCATCAGATATAAAATATAAAAAATCATAAGTAAAAAATATTGTATCTGTAGCAGTTTCACAGACTAGAAAAGAAAAAAATAGTCATTTATATACATACAGGAGTACGAAAAGTGATTTTATATATGTTTTTACTTTTAATAGAAACTCTATTAGATATATATTCATATTCTTTTAATCGTTTAAACATCAATTTTGTTTCTATTATTAGGAAACAACACAGATAAAAAAAACAACATTAAAAGTCGAAAAAAAACGATTCATAGGAAAACAAATCTTATCAATTAATTGTAGCAGCACTTTCGTTCTTAAACCTAATCCGTTTATGAAAAAATATATTTGTTTACGAACTGCTGATCAAACAAAATGGAGATTCTGTAAACAAGTTTCTACTCACTTTAAGCAAATCCGCGGCCAATTTAAGCACATTATTTGCCACCGTTAGTTGTTCTTTACTCTCTGGTCTCTGCTCTATGGCTAAATGTAGGTTTATCTGTTCTGTCAAAATCGCTGACAGGCAACCCCGGTACTTCTTATTGACATTACTGCCAAGTGTCAAAAGTCGCAATAAATACACTCCAAGGCAACCACTCCAAACCATTGCTTCAAGGAGCCAACCTCTCTCTAAAGTCACGGAATCCTGGAATATTAAGAGTTTATTACAATTAAAAATAACGCACTTATGTAAATTTTGTGATATGTTTGCATTTATATCTGGTTTTTTTATTATTTTACTAATCTATGAAGTGAAATGTCATAAAAAAGAATTACCCTTAATAATTGTGCGCTGACGCAGGCCAATAGAGTGAGCGTTATTACGAAAGCTGCGGAAACTATAACGTCCACTGATCTTTGGGGGCCGCGTCGCTGTAAATAATCATGCAATGAGATATTTTAAATTATTGTATTTTATAAAATTTAGACAAGCCCTGTTTTATGATTCTAACACTGACAACAAAAATTGCACTTCCAAGTTAGTAAAGTCCCGTAAACTTTAACCACCTTCATATATCTGACATATGAAGAGTTATAATAAATTAAAAAAGTATTAAAAGCTTAAAGTTTCACCAGAAAACCCACATATTTTAGCACCACACTACGCGTCTTAGAGAAAAATTATCCATCAAATATTTATCCTGACATACATCTCTTGCGTCATCCGCATTCATGACAATTACCATTCACCATGCATGCTCGTCGGTTATGGGTACTTTAAACTTGTCCCTTCTCTCGTAAACTCAAACTCAAAATAACTTTATTCATATAGGTAAACAACTACACTTATAAACGTCAACAGAAAAGATGTTCGCCAGTCAAGGGCGTAGAGCGGGCAAGAAACTCTGCGCCACTTTTTTTAATCGCTAAGTTTTGAGTCATACGAATCGTTTGAACTGGAGCAAATCAATCCCAAGGATTAGGATCATTTTAAGATTCGTCAAATTTATAAAAAGCTTTATTGATTAATTTACGTTTAACGAGGGCTTTGAATTTATTTAGTGATAATTCCTTAATTTCGCTTGGGAGTTTGTTGTAAAAACGAATACAATTTCCATATAAGGAGTGGTTTATCTTCTGGAGCCTGGTGGGTTGTTCTGTTTCGAGTATTGTATTGGTGAAAGTCACCATTTGTCTTAAAATCCCTTATATTTTTTTGTATATATAACAAGGCTTCAAGAATATATTGACCAGATAGTGTGATATATTTAATGGTCATATATGTATATATGTTTTTTAAAATTAACCATACCCGTAAATAAGACCTGGTCGAGAGCCAAGTCTTGATATTCCTAACTGTGTTCAGACGGAAGTGTGGTAACTCCGACTTCCGGGCACGCCTAGCGGATGTCAAATGTGAGAACAGTTTTGCGTACAGAAAACGTTGTTTGTACGCGCGCTCTGCTACCGCCAACAGAAAAAAGACGAGTCCACTAAGAGTGAATCGGAGAACGCAGGAGAGGACGTTTGTTGATATTTCCCTGGAAAGTAAGGAATATTTAACATTAACATTATTAGTAAATTTCGGATTTACTGACGAAATCACACATCTCTTTTCTCTAACAGTATTTTTTTCAATATTAAGTTGCCTTCAAAAACCGCTTTCCTTCGGATGAATGACGTTTGACACTTGGCAGTTATGTCACAAAGAACATAAGTCGCCAGTCTTGACTGAACAGATAAACATATTATAGCTATAGAGCAGAGACCAAAGAGTAAAGCCTAAAAAAATACTTAGATGGACTTGTAAGTCGCCAGTAATAATTACCAAAAGCTGTCTCCAAAAGCACCATTAAAAGCGTTGAGCGGTGATCCCTGAGTATAGTTTCCAACGATGGAGGAAAAACTTAATAAAGACAGCGATTGGAGTTCCTCTTCTGTCCGTGAATCCTGTTCTATTGCCATCTAAAATTATATTTACCATTAAAGTGCATTGAGAATTGAAATTAAAAAACGAAGGTTGCCATACATTTCTGGCTCTCTAGAAAACTATATTCGTAACATTAGTTTTTATGGATCAAATTATAAAAGTTTTTAAAACTTGCCACATGTGAAAATTAGTTCCTTTCTCTGCCACAGTCTGACCTACACTTAATAAATTGTGTAGTCAACACAAATAATTCTATGTTTGTTTTTTTATAGAACAAGGGCAAACGGGCCTATCTGATGTTAAGTAAAACCACCTGCCCATGGACACTTAAAGCCAGAAGGCTCGTGAGTGCGTTGCCGGCCTTTTAGGAATTGGTACGCTCTTTTCTTGACGGACCCTAAGTCGAATTGGTTTGGAAATACTTTAGTGGGCAGCTGGTTCCACATAGTGTTTGTGTATGGCAAAAACTGCTTTAAAAAACGCTCTGTTATGCACCATAGTTTCAAAAATGCCCAAAGGTTTCATATAAAAAATATTGTAACTGTTAAATTATCATAAGTTATCTATTTTATATAAGCTTAAAACAAACAATGCATAAGATCAAAGATATTAACTTTTATACCGAATGTAACTTAAATAAGCAAATTGTTTTAAAAATAAACCATTGAATTTTGGGAAATACTCCGAAAATTTATTTTTTAAACAAATTTTACCTGTATAAGCCGCATAACCGGCGAGTTAAAGGCAACAATAGCGGCCATAATAAGTCCAGAGTAGAGACACCCGTCCACCATTGCCCGTTCTGCTCGCGCTACCACGTACCAACTTATGTCTACCGCTGATAACTCTGCCCTTAGAGTGGATCCACGTTCCCACATTGTACATTTCACTGAAACTCAGACAAATTAATAAGGGTCTTATAAACGAAATATAATCTATATAAATAATGTAAACATTTTGTCATAATTAGTTTCGTCACAATGCAAATATATACATATATATATTTGTAATACGAATATGTAATAATATCGTAACATAAGAATTTGCGTGTTTAAAGTTTGCACATGTGCTATTTTCTAAAATACTTAAAAACCAAATCAATAGAAAATCTTATAATTCTGGCTAAATAATAAATATTTTGACACCGATAGTAGTTGTTTTTGAACAGCATAAAATAGAAATAGAACCGTCATTTGGTCATTAGTTAAGCGTTACCCAAAAGTCTATATCAGGGAAAAATAGTGTATAAGGCAAAAAGTCTGATGTTTAACTTGATTTTATTTTCATCTAATATATTAAATTCTCGTGTCACAATGTTCGTTCCCATACTCCTCCGAAACGGTTCGACCGATGCTTATGAATTTTTTTATGCATATTCAGTAAATCAGAAGCGGCTACTATCTATCTTTCAAACCCCTAAATGTTAAGGATGGTCCTAAATTTTAACCCCTAATTTTTTTTTATTTTTTAGATAAAATGTTTTGTTTTTTTTATGATACAAAAATACATACAACCCTTAATTTGCACCACTTTACGATTAATCCCTATTTTCATTTGATAGATAAAATCTTATAATTAAAATAATATAGAGAAAAATTCACAGAAAAACCTAGTCTTATTCCAGCGATTAAAGCGAACATTCTCTGGGGTAGCATAGGAAAATGTTCCATGTTGGTATGTACTAAAAATGTAGGTACATTAAGGACAAACGAAGTTCGCGGGGACAGCTAGTTTAATATAAAAGTTGTAGGTACCTGTGTCACTAGATGGATCTAGTATTGCAAAAGGATCCCACGAGCAATCAGCTGTGTAATGGAAACCGACACCTGGATGGCCGGCCTCCGATTGAGATCCGTAACTACTTTCTTCGCCTAAAAGAAAACAAATCAATTTGACTATGGAATTAAAATTGTATGAAATTTTTGACAATCATGGCATTAATATAATTTATATCTAACTTTTTAATACGGCTTAAAAAGTCTAAGTTCCATTTCATTATCTAGATGTCTAACCCAATTTGTATATTTTTTTTTAATGACCTTAGTGCTAAATGTGCACTTAAAATTAAATGATTGAAAAGTGAATTAAATCAACCTTATTGAGTTTAGGGAGTAAGCCTACTTGGGAAACGTGCAAGTACGTTGTGTATGCCTATTTTCAGTTTAAAAATCTGAAATTATCATAGTGGTTTTCATTTACATAATAACGGTGCGGTAAAAATAAATACACTAATTACGTTAGAAAATCAAGCCAATAAGAGTATTATAAGAAATAAAAATTCTAAGACAAAATAGATCCCATTATTCGGAACTTAAAATAACAAGGAATACACGCGGTCTAATACAAAAAGGCAAACTAAAATGTCTTACTGTTAGTAATTTGGCCCACCCAATCAGACATGGTATGGTGCGAAGGCAGAGCGATTGATGGGGCGGAAGCAGAACATTCCCCATCGGATGATGACGACTGGTAATTTTCTATTTTCTAAACAAACCACTCAAGTCAATTACAAAAATTATGAAATCAAATGAATTAAGAAATTATAATGAATCTTTGGAAATATTATATTTTTCAACCTTTTGGTTGAAATAAAATGTTATCAATCTAGTTTTTTAGATGACGTGGAATTTTGGCTCGATTGTTTTAGAATTAGTTCAATAATATGAGGCCTAGATTGCCTCCTTGTAAAAATAATCCAAAAGTGTGATGAAATCACCAAAACCAAACCAAACAAATTAAAATACAGTAGAACCCGTTTAAGACGATCATGTTTAATACGATTTCTCGCATAATACGCCACTTGACGCCAGTCTGCAACTTGAGACATATTTTCATACATTTCTTAACGCTTAATACGAGGTCTAACCAAGTTGGTTGACGTCGTTGGAAGAAGAAGAACCCGATATACTGCAGGGTTTTCCTTGATATTCTTCCATTGATGACAATGTAGCACCGTACGAAATTCATCAATTGAAGATCTTATTGAGAATGTGATAACACAAAACGAGGCCCTAAGTGATAATGATGAAGTCGAAGATGAGTCAACTTTGGTTTTGTCAAACAACCAGGTGTTATCAGCTGTTAATGATTTAAGACGCTATGTAGCTAGCTTCTTTGAATCAAAGCGAAGACGCACTGCAAAAGTTGAATTATGTTGAAAATCTTTTAAGTGCTAATGCATCAAAATCTTTCGGTCAAACCAAAATAAGTGATTATTTTAAATAATGTAATTATAATTACACTACGTATTGAATGTAATTTATAAATGTATAATGTAATACCTATACATACCAAAATTAGAATATAATACATAATAATATGTAGTACGTATTTTTTTCCATATCCCGCATAATACGCTTTCTCGCTTAAGACGCGTTTTTGGTGGGGTCCCTGAGAAATCGTTTTAAGCGGGTTTTATTGTAGTATCAAAATCGGTATTCGTAATAACAGGCAACGTTGTTTTCAAAATATTTCCACTTAACAAAACAGATAACATTTATAAAAGTCGTAATATGATAGATTTCGTTTGTCGACTGAAATTCCACGCCACCTGAAATAGCCTTTTTATTAACGGATCAAGGTTATTCGTGAAACATCAATTAAAACTTATTCCAAATATCTATAAATGTTTTAGACTAATGCAAAAAGGTGTCAGAAGTATAGATTTAAATGCAAAAACACGCTTTCACACAAATCTACCTGTAAAATCTTGGTCAAGTCCCGTCTGTACCTATTACATTAAAAAGTGTAAAAGAAAATAAATAAGCAAGATGTTAAACATCACATTTATTCTTCATTACCTTTTTATCTTTCATTCTTGCAAACTTTTCGTCACAAGACATCGCTATTTTATCTTTTGACCAGGATTTTCTAAATCGCACACTCACTCTCTTCCCAGTATTAGGACTACTTGTGACAGCATTATCAGAATCTGGATCAATTGTTTTCTCTTCTAAATTTTTACCCTTATCACTGTCATTAACAACATTATTTAAATCTTTCTTTGTTACAGGTTCCTGTTTCTCTTCAATAACTTTTTTAACTTTTTGGTTTTCCGGTTTATCACCCTCACTAGAATTGTAGCCGTTAAGGCTTTCAAAGCCGTCATCCCCATCAGCCAATGTTGGTCTTGGCTCATTTTGTTGATTTTGGCGAATATTAAATATTTCTAAGTATTTCCTTGTTAGTATGTTCGGTTTATATGATGTGCTGGGACTGGCGACAATGGGTTGATTAAGAGGAACTGTTGGATCACGTTTCTTCCATGCCATATAGTCTTCATCGTCAGAATCTTTAGCTTTCTTTGGTAATTTATCTTTAATCACAGGTAGGAGATCATTTGGACTGTCTTTTGTTTCTTTTCTTCTCTTTCTGAAAATTAACACCTTGGTAGAGAGTTTAATGTTAGGAAATCAAACAAAGTAAATTAAGATGGAATACTCATCCTCATCTTCTGTATCACCAAAAAATTATCACTAAGACTCTAGACGCAAAGAAGAATAGGAATATCATAATTGTTATAACATTATATAAAACTTATTTTAGCCGCCACATTTAGATTTTTTTTATTATTAGAAATTATTTTCACTATTCATTTTTAAAAACAATTTGTCTTAAAAAATCTACCTAAGTTAATAAAAAAAATTGCAATATTCTATAAAGTAATACCTTTGGCCTACATCAGCAATATCAGATCTTGACAAGCGCCGTCGAAATTTGGCTGGTTTGGTGAGAGGAGTTTTACTATGGCTTGAAGTGGCTCCACTTTCTGCTGACGCAACACCACTCCCTCCATCACAGTCTGATCGAGATCGTCTTCAATATTCAGAGATAACTTTAAAGATAGTTATATTTCCAAACACGCAAAAAAGCAACAAATATAAATAAATAAATCATAAAAAGTTTTAAATATACATTAAACATTATTTATAGAATTTTGAAAAGCGATTCATATATAAACATCTTAACTCCAATAAATATTACAATTATAGATCATGCTTTGTTTGATGTTTTCTGTTTCAAACATGTTAAGTTAAATATTATCTAAGTCTTTCTCTAAAATTATGAAATTGTATACACAATTACCTAAAATATCGCGGTAATTTTCTTCTATAAGTTGACCTTGGTCTAACTCTAGCTAATTCCATTTCTGTTGTGCATACTATTTGTGAATGTACCATACTTAGTACTACCATCAAAACCATTGGCACTATCCAGCAATTTGACTGAAATAGTATAATTTCCGTGTTAGGTAGTGGCCTTTTTTATGAATTGCTAATTAGAAAGGACTTCAGTATTATAATATATTATATTGCATGTAATGTAAATGTAAAAAAATGTAATTATTGAAGTGCAATTAAGGTTTCTGTTAATATGTATGGTAATTTGTTATGTTATAAGTAACACAAATTACTCTATAAGTAAAAAAAATACTACTATAAAATAAATAGCAGTACTTTGCATACTTACATCTAAGTCAACAGAAGCTGGTGCAATAAAGTTTATTATTATATTGACAACTTGGAGGAACCATACAGAAAGGAGAAATTTTGCACATGCAGGTGAGGTCTGTTGAGCCCACCATTGATATAGGGCTGGCAAGAATACAAGTCGAACCAATGCAAACCATACTACACGGCGCATACCAAGTGTAGCCTTTGCTTTGGGAAATGATGAGCCTGTAACAAATTACTTAATAATAATAACTAAATAACTTAACTATTAATTAAGTTTAATTACTGTACATGCAATATAATTAGGAAATTTATATATAATTGCATTTTAATGTCTAGTAGCACAGGTACAATAAGATTGTGATATCATTATTTAATTAGTTTTTGATTAAAAAATATAAAATTGTAATAGTTTTATTATATATTTTATTTTATTCCATACTTTGGTTTCCTTAATTATGTCTTAGAAAACCTATTATTTTACCAGTCCATTTGTATTATAACTGTTTAAATTTTGAGACTTTACCAATATGTGAAGTACACATAATGTTATACACATTACGTAAACAACAGTACTAAGTTACTATTATACATTATATTTATAACTCACCTCTAACTAAATCAACATCTATTAAATAAGACCGTGCATGTGATGATGAATCTATTATGCGGCGACGGTAAGTGCCTCTCATCAGCAACTGCTCTACCATAGTCTCCCATTCTTCTTTGTCATAAGAACTTATTTTCTTCTGATACCTAATAAAGTTAATAATATTGTACATTGTACGTTTTGACCTACTGTAGTGAAGATCTTTAGCCTGTTTATTAATTAAGATACTCTAATAGTGGTAGAGAAAATGTATAAATTCCTTTGTATTAAATGGTGTTAAGGTATCCACCTTTTAATTTTATACTTTTTTAGATTCAGCACATTGTTTATTACTAATTTCATATTGTCTGAAGAAGTCTGCTTCATAGCTTCATAGTTTAAAATTAAAATATGCTTACCAAGCTGTAAGTTGCTTCATGACTATTTTCAACACATTAAGAATAATCAGTTACAATAAATACAAGCTCACTTTTATTTCTTTAACATATTTATCACAGGCCAAGGCTTTTGAAACTATCACACTGGCAACAGAAGAATTATTCCAACTGTAAGCAAATATTTATAACATCAATTGGATATTTGGGTCAACCTTTAAAATTAAATTGATAGAGTAGTAGATAAAGTAGTGCTACTGGTAACAATCAGCTATCCCTTTATTATGTTCACCAATATACGCTGCTCACCGGTTAATTGACTCGTGAGTTAAGCTTCAAAAGGTAAAAACTATAACAATTAATTGTTTACAGTTATATCGGACGAATAAGTATTCTGTATCATTGCTGTATTTTTTTATCAGACGCATGAATTTTTTTCCGATGGAATATTTAGTGAGGCTTTAACAATCAATTATGTGAACATTAAAACTGTAAGTTTCTATTTTCTAATAAGCAATCACTTCTTTTGTTTGCAAACGACAAATTGTTAATGGTTTATGGTGCTAGAACATGACTGATGACAAACATCGATATTTGAAAATATAGTCCCCGCGAGTAAATTGTCAAAACCATTAGACTATATCCTTATCACCACTACGTTACTTTAGATTATGATGATATTAATTTATCCCTAATGGGAAAGGCAGCTATGTTACTTAGGTTAAATTTTCGGGAAGTAAGTATAAAGAATTTTGTACGTAGTATAAAAAAATAATAAGGTAGGGTTGTTTCTTTTTAGACGTTTACGGACTATAGGTATTTAAAATTTAGGTTTTCTAGGAAACATACTATAGTTAAATTTTTATGTGGTAGCGAGTATGTGATAGGGGGTTAATGGTAAGGTACTGACGATGTCAAACTTACAAAACTTTACTCCTTTTGTACAACATAACACAATTGTAACAGATTATTCCATGCGGGTTATCAACTCATTTATGATTCGTATCTTGAAAGATTGCTGGTGTAGCAGATTTATAGATAATGTTATTAACATCTATAAATCTGCTAAATAAAATAAGGTGACCAACTATTTTTTGTTCATAAAGAATAGGTACACTTTGCAATATTTCAAAGGTGAAAAAAGAAACGATAAAAACTTTATTTTCTTTTAAAAACATATTTTTCTTCGGAGTGGATTTTTTTTGCTAAATGAGGATGTTCGTCTAATAATGTAGCCACATCCGAACATTTTTACGAGACGGCAGTTATTACAGAAAGTTGCGACTTTTCACTGCTCCAATAATCATTCCCTAATGAAAATACCCTTTCAACAGCAGCATTAGTGCCTGGACAACATGAAGAAATTTCTATTAAAACTAAATTATACAAATGAGTACTTTCAAATTACAGAATTTGAAAACAGTATGTTTTGCGAAAAACAGTACAAAACTCAGTAAATGAGTATAGTTGGTCACGTTAATGTTAAGGAACTTGAAAAAAAGGACAATGTACATATCGTGCTTTATTATTTTCTTGATGTTACTAATTATAATTAATACTTCATTGCATATACCAAATTTCAATTATATTAATAAACAGGTACAAATTGGTTCATAATGAATAAAATATTAAACTACATACGTTATACGTCATATGTATGTAGGAAACCAAACGTAAAAGATGAATTGTCACTTTAGTATTTTGATTTCATAGTTTTTCTCATTATACTGTGACTAGTTGATAGTTCCAATTGTAGTGTTTTAGCAGTAATAACCTATCTTTGTACTTTTCATATACTTTAGAGTGCTAATTTATACATTGATAATTTGCATTGTATATTGTAATGTTTCCATTTTGAAATGTTATTAAATTCCTCTATTTTTTATCGTTCCATTCTAGATTCATATTTATTATCTTGTAAATATAAGTTTCCGATAACATAAAATCTTAAATATATTAACAAATGTATCTTAATCTAGACTATAACTACAACTCTGTGGTAAGTTCGTCTTGGGGTCGCCTGGTCATCTCAAATAACTCGTCTTCTAGCCAAACACTTTCTCTTCTTACAATTGGTCGTCTCTCCCAGGGATCTGTGAGTACTATGGACTCTGATTCTATTTGAGAGTAGCTTGGTGGTCTTCCACTCCACGCGTTTTCCTTATCTAAAATATGACTATCATAGGATGAGGGAGAGTATGAGGGGGGTTTAAAGGTGGAGAATGATTGAGTGGTGTCATCTGACCGCTGGCTCGGTGGGGACGACAAGTTCACGAGTTCCGTTTGTTGACATGACTGATTAATACCGAGACGACTGTAGCGTTTGAGTATTCTGGAAAAAGTTAATAATTTTATTATTATAAAATAAGAACAGTGTTTTCATTCTTTTGTTTTAATATTTTTTTGGCCTGGTAACGAAACCTTGTTTTCATTCTTAATTTTAAATACTAATAAGTAATCTCTTTTACAGCTCTGTGACGAGTTGATATAAGAAAATACTTTCTGTCTGTTATTTTTTTTACAAATGCATGAATCGCCTTTAAAAATTCGCGCCAAAACATAATCCATACTCAACACCGATTTTCTTCATTATTCTTGACAATTGACACAGACTTTTTGAATTCCTAATTCACCTAATAAAATGTTTACGTAGAATTGTACTCTTGTTATGCTGGTTAAAACTTGCACTTAATTATACGAATGTGACATGACCTTTCCAGGCCTAGATAACTCACGAAGCACATGTTAAGCTCTTATCTTTATTTCTCAAGAGCACTTGGGTTTAAGTGAATGCTTGAAATATAAAGACAAAAATTTATGGGCTGTATTAAGAAGGGAAGATTATTTTTAGACTTGAAGAGCGTCATCAGCTACAATGTCAGATACTGATAGTTTTTTAAATATCACGGGGCAAACGGGCACCTCACGTGAACCTCATCTGATGTTAAGCTATACCGCCGCCCATGGACACTCAATGCCAGAAGGGACGGGAGTGCGTTGCCGGCCTAAATAAGTGATTGGGGCATAAGCATAAATTAAATAGTTACCGATCAGCCCAGCTCGCAAGTCGAGACCATTCTTCAGGCACCACAGGTATCTGCTGCTTGTTCAGCAGTATTAGAAGCTTTGCCAGATCACTCAAGACACAGCTGAAAACATTTATTAAGTTTACAACTTTTTATATAAACGTACTAAACTGTCTGCCTCCTTACTCTGAAATCTCAATTTAAAGCTAAATGCGAATTTAGACACAGCCTTGCGATTCTGTAACTCACTTTTCGAACTCACACAGCGGTTTTCACAGCGGCGGTCGCGCTCAAATCAGCCCTGCGATTCTGTAACTCACTTTTCGAACTCACACAGCGGTTTTCGCATCGGCGGTCGCTCTCAAATCAGTCGTGAAGCAGTCATTTTAAGATTTGGCATTCTGATAAACAATAAACTACAAGCTCCCACCTTTTCAGAATGCCAAATCTTAAAATGACTGCTTCACGACTGATTTGCGAGCGACCGCCGATGCGAAAACCGCTGTGTGAGTTCGAAAAGTGAGTTACAGAATCGCAGGGCAGGTGTCTCAAGGCAGGTGTTAAACAGTCTCATTTAAAAAAATATTTACCTATAAGCCATTGCAGCATCATTATTCCCGAGCTGGTAGAGCTCTCGCACCTGGTGTCTCGTGTGGTTGAGTATAGCTAGCAGAGTGTATGCGTGAGGCTAAAAAATTAATTTTTTTTCATATTATTACTCTAGACCTCAATCATAGGCTCAAGGAAGACGAAGTGTTCCTTCCTTGTTTTATAAATATTTTTTACGGCATTGCGATTTACAAGCCCAATTCCTTATATGTTCTATAAGTTAATCACTGAACCGTACAGGCAATAAACTGTCTCAAAATTATAAATAAGCGTGTGTATTTTATACATATGTTATGAATGTTATTTAAGAGCTTTCTTGAGCTACAAAACGCACGCACGCCTTCTTGTTTAGAAATCAATGTAACAAATATCTTTATTAATCACACCACACACATTTGCAAACGCCCAACCGGTTTGTAGAAAGTGATTTTCATCTAATTGAAAGCGACATGATATTCATATCTGTCAGCAACGTGCCGTGAAGCAAGCACGGTGAATTAACGGCGAACAAAAAAATCATGGCGCTTTTTATTACAAGAGATGAAAAACAGTTTTGGCGTAGCGTATCGAAACTGTTCTTTTGATAAAATAATGCTTTTAAAGATAGTTTATTGGAAGATATAGAAACTATTTTAAATGGAACACCGCAATTTCAAACACAGCATATTTGCCGCGTTTTGTAAGTTTTGAATATAAATTCGATTTACAAAATTATTAATCTGTGAACAGAGAATTATAATAAAATGCATGTATGTGATAACATCTTACTCAACATCAAATACGGCTTTAATAGCTGTCCTGCTGGGAATAAATATCTAAATTAAAAGAACGCTTTTTCGGTAACTTGAAGTTTTATCTACGCTACCGAAAGCGTTACGTTGTAATTGGGAGTGTTTTGGCGTGTTGTTTACATCCACGCTCGTCGAGTAGGCTTTGATTTCACGCGCCTACACTTCCTAACCTCGTTTCGTTACACGCTATAAAGACCGAGTAATCGTTTAATTGTTATGCAGGTTTATCTTTATAGATTAAATGGAAAAAATAGTATAGTAATAAAAGAACTATAACTTAGCATGTGTGATTCGTATTATTCCTCATTATGCCATTAGGACCCAGTTATCGTTTAAAGGGAATTTATATCAGAAACTCGGAGTTATACGTATAGTGCGTTACGAACTAAGCCATGGTGGCCTTTATTATTATAAAATATTAGTAATAAAATGACATTTTCGCTTTTCACACATCTTTTTAAACTTTGAATGTTCGCATCGACGTTGTGTAAATGTTCTAGTTCCTACATATAATAATATCTATATAAATTTTCGAACTTTATACTATAGCCAACCTTCACGCTTTGCACTATTCATTAATCTTATGAATTACTCATGAACTTACTCGTAAACAGTCCAGCTGTTTGTGAAATTCTCTAAGTTGCGCGTCGTCATCGTGATTCGGTTGCGGTAGAGGGTGCGCGTGCGGCCTTTTCTTGCAACGTGCGTAGGCAGCCCCCACAGCTACCAAAATTATACAGGCAGCTACTCCACACGCGCCGCCAATTAATATCTGTAGAATGTTATCTTATAAGTAAGACGTGGAATAAGTGATACATGTATCTTATGTTCCAAAATTTATTTTATTTTTATTTTAAGTAAGTACCAGCCTATGATGTTTAATATTACATCCCATACGAGAGAAGAATAGAGATTTTTGTCTAAATAAGCAAGCAATTTACAAATTTTCTAAGAATACCCTTATATCTCCATTAAAAAATCTTAAACCATAATAGGCTATTTGGCAAAAAATAAATTTTCTTCAGATTACTTAAGAATCTATACAAATGAAAAAACTCTAAAGTAAAGTATGGAGTTTAAAACTACCTTCTGGAAGGGGCAACTAAAGTCTTCACTTTTTTACATTTTTAACTTGTAATTTTGACTTTCAAAAGTGCCTTTTTAATAGGCCTAATTGAAATAAATGATTTGACTTTGAATTAATCGTTCATAACTTGTAGAACCCGCCAAAACCCTTATCTAGCAAGATGGCGTCACAGGGACTATGATGTCAACACGAAAACAAACGTCAAGTTTTTTACGTGTTAATAATCATTATGAAATTACATAAACAGACACATATATATAGACAGGCAAATACATACTACGAGTATTTACAAGCATGCTATCGTCGATTCGACTAATTTCTGATAGTTTTGTTAAGTTACTGCAAAAAAAAACAAATACATATTTTTAAATATGGATTTTTTAACAAATGACAAGTTATTTAACTCAAAAACGTTTTTAAAGGCCTTGTTTTATACAGATCTTAATATTACTTTATTGTTTATACTCTGTAGTAGCATATTGTAAAACTAAAGAGATACTGAGAACTTGGCGCTTCTGTTTTCTGGACCTCTTTGAAACTAGAGTACCGACTTGTATAATGGTCTAGCAGACATAGTTTCTGAGTACAATAATGACATATTTACTTCTAATAAACGCTTATGTTTACGTTTCCACGCGAACGTACTAACAGCTAAAATATACTATAGGTAAATATATATCAAAGAAAAAGTCGTTCACCTCATTAAACATTAAATCGTAATTAGCTACTACTTATAGTATATATTAATTGTGACTTAATTAACCCTTGGATTAGCTTTTACATTTTTGTTTTTAAATATTACTTTATTTTAGTTATAGGTAGTGGTATATGTTATTTTGAGTTCTAGTTTTTGTTAATTATTTATGCACTTCTTATACTTTACCCTCTGTAGATGTTTCTTTTTTATTGTTCCATATTAGGGTTGCCTGGAAGAAATCGCTTGTTAGCGATAAAGCCGCCCGTTGCCTAATAACTTATGTAACTTGCTCTTTTATATGTATGCTTTTGTATAAGGTAACGAAGAATATCTAGTAAAAAATCAAATTCAAACATCTGTGTTTTGCTTGGTTGACTGATCAAGTTTATTATGTCTACCCACATTTTTGTTGCTGTTTTGTTTTGTTATTTTATATATTATGTACCTACATCTGTGCGCTCTAATTTCTATTTTCTAATTTTAAATCTTAGTTTTAAATATCGTTTCTCAGTAAGTGAATTATGTAGGCAATTCTTGTGAAAAATAAAGTTATTCTTAAACCTAAAAAAAAGTCAGTTTCTAGTCACCATAATTGGCAAAACTGATTCTCTAATACGAAAGCGTACCTAACTCATTTACCTATATTACAGTATTGAAACCGAATTATGCAAAAGGAATTCGTAATTCAAATTACAGTGAGGTTAATCTTGTAATGTTGCTTCATTAAAAGCGCATCAAAACGACGACTGTGTTTGCGAGATGAGTTTGTTTGCTCATAGGCGTTGTGACCTACTTCCTAGCTATAAATATCTGGTTTTATACAATTTCCATACACGGTTTGTATTTAAACAGCTGTTTTTATTGACTTTACATGCCGTATGATAGTTTGCACAATATTGCAATACTTGAGCTTGCTTTGTATATTTTTTATTTGTATGTTGTATTTGCTTTGCTTTGTTCCATTAGTTTTATCTATATATAACTATGTCTTATGTAGCTTTGCACTGCTCTTGCGCTGATCTAAATCAGAAGACCGCAAGAACTTTTTTCACAGTTCTTGCCTGGAAGAGATCGTTCGAAAGCGATAGCCGCCAGTTGCCCTCCTTTTTATTTAATTATTTTAATTGTACTACATTTCTGTATACTTGCAACGAAGTCTTAATAGATACATAAATATGTACACATTACCTGCACTTTCGTAAGTATTGTACATATTCTCATGGTCTGAAGTATACTTACTTCGTGATACACATGTCCTGGGTAGCAGACTCTGCCCATGAGCTGGTCATCGTGTGCCCAAGATTCCCGAGTCCCTGGTGGACACTCGTGAGCGCACGAGCCCCCTGGCCATATGAGAAGCCGCGCACATTTAATGCATCCGTCAGCTGAACATCTCACGCATTCGGAACCGCATCCTGAAATGATAATTTATTATTACAGAAATCTAATATATAAAATTCTCGTGTCGCGATGTTTGTTGTTAAACTCCTCCGAAACGGCTTGACCGATTCTCATACAATTTTGTGTGCATATTGGGTATGTCTGAGGGTCGGACAACATTTATTTTTCATCCCCCTAAATGTTAAGGGTATAGTCCACCCCTAATTTTTTTTTTTAATTTTTAAATATTTTTTTTTATGATACAGCATTAAAAAATACATACAACCCTAAATTTTCAACCCTCTACGATCAACCCCTATTTTTTATTATAGTAGATAGTTATTTTTTTTGAACTAAAAAAATGTTTTCTAGAAATAATATACAAGGCAAAACGACGTTTGCCGGGTCAGCTAGTATTTTATAATTTTTGTCTTCAGTCCATCAGGTTGAAATTAAATACAATATGTAGGCTACATAAAGAGACCATCGTTGCTAAGTTGTTTAAGACGGTGGATGTCTTAGGTTCAATTTCCGATGAAGTAATATAGCTAAGAAAAACAATCAACTTATATAAAAAAGTGATAAATGTAACATAAAGAAATGCCAATTAGAAAACTTTAAAAAGCCTTTTTTAAACTCTGTTTATTTAAAGTTGAGTTCGTTTTAATTCAAGAATTTATATTTCCTTAAGGTAATTGAAATAACAAGTGTAAAAAGTTTATTTTTATTAGGCCTCCTATAGTTGAAAAGTTTCTCACGGAAAAGGGAAGTGGTTGTTTAATGAGTAGAAACGTAGAAATATTACATTAATAACCTCTTACGTAATAGACGCTAACTGCTTCTGGTTAGAAATTCTATTGATACGAGTATGTTTGTCTATAGCTGTGTTGGCCTAATGGATTGAGCACTCGACTCTGAACTAACAGTGACAGCAACGGACTACACGAATTATTTACATTATTTACTTAAATCCTTTCTTTGTTTCGCAGTCCTGAACAGCGAGAGACAAATTAAAGTTTCCCTCAAAAAACTTATTAGGGGTAGGAAGGATGTTTTTTATAATACTTTTTGCGTCAACGTTGGTGTTAAATATAGAACAGCACCACGTGAAAACCTAGGAGTCCCTTTTCATCTTGGTAAACACATGATTAAATCTAAACACAATAACGTAAACAATTATGATATTCTTGTATCTCTAGACGCCGCGGTTATTAAATTAGTTAGCTAGTTACTAAATTGGGTTTTCACATGGGCGCGTTCTATATTTGAAACCAATATTGACGCTAAAAGTTTTATAAAAAAACATCCTTCCCATTGATTTGATATAAAATCATAAAAGCCTGTAAAAGTGAAGTGACCTTCACAAGACAATAAATCTGTGAAATAAAAACAATTTTTGCTTATGCTTAGACATAATTGTCTATGTCCTTTACCATTCTCTATTGCGTATTGAATATTCAACATCTCAATACTTTCCAAAGGGAAAGCGAACGCGATTAGTAAGTCACTGTCAAATTAACGGGACTATGCAATCACAGAGCCAACAGTAATCTCAATATGCTAACGATACCGTTCAATGTTATATCAATGAAACGAAGGTAGCGTTAGTATATTTTGCATCGTAAAAGTTGAGCTGTTCAAAGACAAACACAAATAACAATAATGTATAAAGATCTTTATGGTTTTACGTTTTAGATTTGTTGTATTTTTATAAGTACTAATAAATTAACACGAAACAATAAAAAATTAACACTAATAATTAATCGGCAAGCCGGTTGATTTCTGTTATACAGCTTGTCCTTGGACATAGGCCTCCTCTAAGAGCTTCCACTCTCCTCTGTTTCTAGCTTTACATAGCCACGAGCCAACTGCTCTTCGCACATCATCTTCCAATCTTTTTATTTGTCTTCCTCGTTTTCTTTTGTCATAGCGAGGAAGCCATTATTTATTTTTATGTTTAGTGTAGTTTATTTTTTAAGAGCAGTATTGACTTAGCTTCAGCGTGCGATTCTCATATCTGAGGTCATAGGTTCGGCTGTATCCCAATGGACATTCTGTATATTTACGCATTTACCACTTTGGAAAACATCGTGAGGAAATCGGCATGTCTTAGATCCAAGAAGTCGACCGCGTGTCACTGAAGGCTAATCATTTACTTGCCTTTTAGATACATAGAGATGAGAGAGATCATAGCCCCAGACCTACTAGGTTTAGCCAATCTCCGCCAGAGTTGACTAGAAGAAACTGCTCTTAGCAGTATCCGTATCTTTTTACATCTTTCTCACTTTATTATTACCCGTTTTGGGAGGTAATAAAGTGAGACTAAAGTAAACTGTGGTGAAAAGGAAAATCAGTTCTTTAGTTCAGACTGTTTAAGTTTATATAAATAAGAGGATGTGGTAAGCATTGCGTTATTATACTTTAATGAGAATAATTCGTCATGTTTTTCACTTTTAACTTTAATTTAAAATTTAAATTGGTAATACAGGTAGGCATTGCATTTGCTAGATGGAAAATTAACATTTTTTTACTAAATCCCAGATGTTATGTATAATTTGACCATGGTTGCCACTTGTATCAATAATTAATTGTAACAATCTTACATTAAACACTACTAAAACATATAAATCTAACAGAAATAATTTTTCTTTGTTATACACAAACTAAAGAAAATATTTAAAAAATGCATTATTTCTAAATCACGCGATTTTCATAATAGTTAAAAATGCAAAAGTCAATGCATACATAATCTAGGTACCTAATCTTTGACTGTATTACGCAGTTAACCTTTACGTGATCTATGTTATTAATGTAATTACTCTAGTGGGCAGTATGACTTAATATACGACGTATTTGCAATAAAACCTGCATAATACCTTATATAAAACCTCACATTATGCTTTTATTTACACAAGATTATTTTTAGAATGGGATTCTGTTGCGAAATACTAGTATATCGTAAGAGTCTAGCTTTCACATAGATTTTTAAGGCAGTTTTTGCCGCGCACCACCACTATCTGCCACTGAAGTTTTTCTGAATCAATTCGAATTAGGGTCATTCAAAGAAAGAGCGTACCAATTCTTAAAAGGCCGGCAACGCACTCGCAAGCCCTCTGGCATTGAGAGTGCCCACGGAATGGACAAATAATGGCTTAATGGCGGCTTATTGTGTGTTATCGCTTAACATCAGGTGAGCCTGTTACTCTGGGGCTGTTTTATAAGTGGCTAGGTAAGCTGTATTCGTTGAATATTTTAAATCTACCCCCGGGGGGGGTTTTTTTTTTTTGGGGGGGGGTTTTTTTTTTTTTTTTTTTTTTTTTTTTTTTAGAAAAACTGTTTAACCGGATTGAAGTTCTGTATTATTATAAATTCACCACATTTAACATAATAAATTTATCCGACGCGTCGCGTGCTTTACAGCGTGCGTGGTCACGGTGACTTCAATCCATAAACTTCTTCATAACTTCAATCCGGTTAAACAGTTTTTTCTTTAAAGGTATTACTTCATAAAGTGGTGCCACCTTTGTAAAAACTTCTTCTATTTAGGCTCTGCTCACGTTTAATATATGCCTTCGGGAACCATGAGTTTTATAATCTGTAAAAATGCCTTATTAAAATAAAATTTATCTACTATAATATATAACTCACTCACGTGTGTCGTTTAGAGGCGGCGGCGCGTCGGCCGGCCGCAGTTGCGCATGGGCCGCCTCCGCCGTCAACAACGCGAGCGCCACCAGCAAGTGGCTCATCGCATCGTGCCCATGGCAGCGTTACTGAAATAATGTTAACAAATACCATAAATATTTTCCTTATTCATGCTGTCTAGGTGAGGTCGTTCTGTTGCATTTTTATTTCTACTGCGATTATTCTTTGTATTTATAATTAATATATGTGAGAAGGGCGTTACGCGTTAGAAGTTATACTTCTTTGGCGTAACATGATAAAAATATTTTTTTTAATTTTATCTTTCGCCTTATTCTACGTTTGTAGAAAAAAAAAACGTATTTAATAAGTACATTGAAAGTTTTATTATAACGCATTATCTAGTTATATCTTATATAAATGTCACAAAAAAAATATTTCTACATAATTAAAGAAATGGACATTTTTTTATTTAAAAATGTTGACTAAGCTAACTTCAAGGTGTCGGTTTTTTGTGACGGTGTGCGCACGCATTGTAAAAATTTACTCTCATCATTTTTCCCTAACGCGCCAAAAGAAGTATAACATCAAAAATGTATCGCATAACTAAATAGCGAGTAAGTAGTTTCACAGCTAACATCTCACGGCCCATAACGGGATAAAGGCATCCCTCATACAAAAACATTCGGTTGACAAACGTCAGTCACAATGCGGTTAGGGTTTGGCGAGGATTACATCCGTCAGAGGCGTGAAGTGGGTCACCAGCCAAACCTCAAGCTCGTCACTTATAACTGTAAGGACGGGTTTACAAATTAGCCTCTATTAACATTCTATAACTAAACAGTAGAGACATTTCGTCATTGTTGCTACCAAGGACTGGCGAATACATTGAACTTTGTCGCTTTGAAATGTGTGTTAATAATAATAATCTTTATTCATTTCTCACAAAAACTTAGTACATAAACAAGTGACAGTTATATACTATTATAAATAAATAATTGTCTAACTTCTGTTTAGGGAAAATGCTAGTTTGTGTAAGACTGATGCCTGCTAAAGGTAAGAGTACCTGGGTTACAGGTCATCAGGCCTCCACCACTTCGGATTGACAGAAGGTCTTGTAAAGTAGAGAAAAATCTAGTGAGAATAAACAATCATTATTACATAGGCTGCAATATTTATAGGAAACCACATGGGGTATGTGTGTGTGCGTAAATTGTGTGTATGTGTGTGGTGTCTGTGTGTTAATGTGTGTACGTGAGTGTGTGTCTGTGTATGTTAATGTTTAGATGCCGCTTTTTGTCACGTATAAAAATAGTTCGGAATTCCGGGGAAGACACTTTTTAATAAATGATTACGAAGCCTTATTTTGCCTTGTTTGCATTTTGTCTTGTTAACACAACCTGGAAGTGTAAGTTCTCGTTTTTAAAAAAAAAATCAAATCATTTAAAAAGTATATTCAATTACTTTTAATCAAGCCGATTAAAGTATGAAAACAAACAAAATGTACTTTAAGTAAAATAAAATAAATCAGTGGCGCTACAACCTCCTTAGTTCTTGGGCTCAGATTCCGAATATGTTTCATGATCATTTTTAAATCTAATTGGCAAGTAGGTGATCAGCCTCCAGTACCTGACACACTCCGTCGACTTTTTGGGTGTAAGACATGTCGGTTTCCTCACGATGTTTTCCTTCACCGTTCGAGCATATGTAAAATGCGCACATAGAAAGAAAGTCCATTGGTGCACGGCCGGGGATCGAACCTAAATCCTTAGGTATGAGAGTCGCACGCTGAAGCCACAAGGCCAACACTGCTCACTGCAGATACTTTAAGTATCAGTATTTAAACATTGTAAGTTTAATAGCACGTTTCATTAAAAATCAATAATCTAAGATGAATGGTTCTATGATGACTAATTTTAATAATATTAAGGTAACATAAAAAATGTTGTATGAAAAACATAACTATCAAGCTCTTAACGAGTTTTAATACGTCAGTACAAATTGTTTAATGTTCCACATTCTTTTCTTTGTGAGCGAACGTGACATTCATTGACATTATACAACGCGCGGTATTCACGATTATGGCATTATAAAATCGTTTTGCATTGTCTCGATTGCTAAAATTATGCAGAGTAGACATGAGATATTCCGTTACAACTTAGCCACATTTATAAGTATCAGCCTTATGTCACCAAAACAAAACAATTGCGGCCTTATTATAAACATAAATACCGAGTTACCATGGTAACGATTCTTTATCTAAAATGATTTGATCAAGTTTTATAATACATATGTATATATAATATATATATATATGTATATATATATTTTTTTATTATACGGGCAAACGAGCGTACGGGACGTACAACAATTTTTTTTAAACAATTGAAGGTCTTGCTTCCCAGGGAAGATCCCCACCGGGAGTTGATTCCAAAGTTCGCTAGTTCCTGTCTCTAATATGCAAACATATAAATTACAGACTTACATAATGAATTCTATAAACAAAGACCTACGCCATATACCAAGGAATTATATTAAATAAGATAATTTTGTATCCAAATAATATGATTCCCTATTTATTGTTAAAAAGTCTTCTTGTGTCTAATTAATTTACTATTGGCTTATGAATCTTGATCTAGACTACACGATTTACGAATTAAAAATAACATTTAATTATTTATAGTCTGCTAAATTAGATTTTATTCGTAAACGTAAGCCTCGATCAGAGAGCACGAGTGAAAGAGTGCTTTTATTTACATGCACTAACACAAGAGCGGTAACGACAACACGACTTTGTACAATTGTGAATAAAAGGATTGCTATTTAGATGTTATAAGGTCTAGAAAAACTAGGTCTCCGTGTTAGACATTAACCTACTTAAGAAAACCAGTAGTGCATTCCGAAGTGATTGCGTTGACAAGAATTAATTTAATTGTAGTTAACTATTTTAATCATAATCTTGGTTTCGTAAACTCGTATAAGTATACTAGTACGGACTGTACAAATCTAGTAGATTTTTTACCCTTTCATTCTTATAATAATAGTCTCACTGTTTTAGCTACAACAATGATTCGCCTGTTTTTCTGTCTATGTACCTTTTTCTAGGTCAAAGCATAGAGGGCTTTATTTTTTAAACCTCAACTAGAAAATGTCTTCCCTATAGTGAAGAACACCCTTTTATATAATCCATTTTCATTATATTTAACAAATTTTTATCGAATTTCCGATTGATTACTACACGATCGTGTAGTTTGTAATAAAAATTACGGAATTATTTAATGTATCTTTCAGAAGCGTTCGTTCAAGTAAAATATTAAAGTACGTGAAGAAATTATGTTATTACATGTTAATGATATAGAAATACTCTCAGGATATTATATTTATATAAAGTTAATAAACACTAAAAACTTATAGTGTTGCTTTAAACTATAAATAATTTGTTTGGTCGTGTCATATTGTACGCATATAGGAAGTTTCGTTCAACTACGCTTTACGCCGGTGAAAGTTGCGGCTGACGCACTTTTGTTCACAAACTCGTTGTTATAATAAGCCGGTACGTCAAAGAAATCAAAAATGGCGTTTGTGGAAGCATGGTGAATAATTACCCCTTGACACAGCTCTGTATCATATCTATATTTTAAACAAAACATGTCAAGATGTTTAACTTAAGGGCGGGTGACGCGAAAGCACGGACGTCGGAAAATTTAAAATTATGTTAAATAATTGTAAATTTATAATAATACATAACTTTAATCCGGTTAAAAAGTTTTTTCTTTAAATATTGTGTAAAAGTTATGTCAATCAAAGACAATACTATGTCAAGATGTTGCCTCAATGTGGCATTCTTAGCTGTACTAAGCTTCTAGATCTTTCGAAATATAGATCTTAAATACAGTAGGTACCTTCTTAGTATAATTATGACATGTCATAAATTATAGAGGGTATAGTAATCACCATCGCAAATTATTTGCTTTTAAACATTAAATGATTTTAGAAGGGGTTTCCAACGCACTGTTTAATACTCCGGCGTTTTACTACGCTTTGTGCGTTGTTAAGTATTTGTAGATTACGATACAGCTGTGTATTTCACGGCCATTGCACTTACGTCTCTTTTCTAATTTGACGGTTTACGGCATTTTTAATTCGATTAACGGCGAAATTATAGATAACAGCGCTTTATTATTATAAAACGAATTGACTGATTAGTGACTATTTATAAACTGTTTTTTTATATTATGATGTTAGGTTTGAGCCTTAGAAAGGGCTAAAATGTAAAAAAAAAATTTATACACATATGTTATGTTATTTTAAACTATGTCTAAGTAATAAAGAAATGATAATTGACACTGACGTGGAAGTCTATTCCCTATTAAAATAAACATATTAATCAGTAATAGATTCAGTAAGCACCAAAGTAGTTCATGGTTCATATTATTTTATTTAAATGTAATGTGAAAACGCGAAGCTAAAGTTCTTTGCCTTAGCTTTTAGTAAAATTACAATTTAATTTCAGATTAAATAATAACAATAACAATGTTCTGTAATCTGACAAAAAGTTAGGACCTCGATGTCCGCCGTTCCACAAATGAGCGTTTTTCAAGGCAGTTTTTGCCTCGTACCACTACTATGTGGAACCAGCTGCTGAAGTATTTCCGAACCAATTCGACTTAGGGTCCTTCAAGAAAAGAGCGTATCAATTGGCATTGAGAGTGTCCATGTCAGAGCATCCTGCCTGTTTGCCCTCTGTTCTATAAAAAAAACCACGATATGAACGTTGATTCGCAAGCGCACTACGCAAAATAGACATTGGCCATAATTGTGCTTTATCGTTCTAGTAAATTGGTTTTCCCTGAGCCGTAATGCAATCATGAGCAGCCTTGTCAAAGTAGCTGCAATTTCCCTCGATTCTTCGATGACAATGCCATTGTTTACTTTGTGCACGTGTTTACATGTTTTTGTGTAAGAGAAATCGTTGAAACCCCTCAACCGGATATATTCCGGGCCACATGCGGGTTTCTTAGCTATTACGTGTCTACATATTAATAGGTTATAAATTGACTTTCACTCGAGTAGTTTAAATAGAATATGCTTCCGTCCACGATTTAGCCTGTTAACTATAATATAGGTCCTGAGTTACGGCTAAAATGACATGTCCGGCATGACCAAACCACTTCCATTTTTCGACGACCGTTCTACTTTTTTTGTATGGAAGTATTGTTCATGTAATTTTTATACTGTTTTATGTTGCGACAGCAGGTCATACTTTGGATTAAAAATTGCGATAATATTACTACATAGTGTATCGTATTAATGCTTCATAATGATGACATGTTGGTTTGAAAGTTATCCAAAATTTAAAAATATAAATTTTATATGCAATAAATATAAAAAAAAATCAGTAATAATAATTATTCAAAAGATTTTGCTTGTAGACAATAATTCGTCAATACTATTTAATTCCTCGTTAACCATTTTAAAATAATCTTCTTCTGTGGATTTTAAATCGTCATCATCATCATCTTCGATATCCATATGCGTAGCGTCATCAATTTTATGTTTTAAACGTATTTCTTTAACTCTATTGCCTAATATATGTTCACGACGCGTTTCACGGTCGTAAATTTGATGAACTAGTTGCTTATCTTGGCTGTTAGGAAGGATCATGTTTTCGGAAAGGTGAAGGATGTATATTGAACCCTGCTTATCTCCAACTGCAATAGATTCGCCTGATGGGTGCGGTGTTACACGAGTTAGGCCGTGCTTCGATACATGGAGCGTTGCAACAGGTGCGTGATATTTTCTCAGTAAATCCCAATAGTGGAACACCCCACCTTCACAAATCGCCATATAACTAGAATATCTTAAAGGAGCCCAAGCGACATCAGTTACCTGGTAACGATATGGGCGTGTGACTATAATTGGCGCCGTGCGAACTTCTTCACTCCAAATACGGACGTTCCAATCTCCGCAAGTTATAAACATACGTAGCGTACAAGGACTTCGGTGAACGGCTCTCACAGCACCTTCATGAGCGTTCCAATAAGATGTCAAAATTTCTGAGTGGCTTCTCCCCATACGATTTGCATTAATTACTAAGCCAGATTCCGTTCCTGTCAAAAACTTTGTAGGAAAGCCGCGATCGAATTCAAGGCTGCTAACACCTTCAGTATTGGAATAACTCGGTTCGACGTTAGGTCCTTGTCGAATCGACATAAAAAGCTGATCAATAGGCTTAGAAAGGTATCTTCTATCCCACCAAAGACACTGACCGTCTGGAGATCCAGAGAAAAATTCTGTATTTGTACGTGAATGTGTGTAAAGAAGACCAGTGATTGGGCCACGATGAGAATTATATACAGAAGACTTAGAAACGGCCTCTTGACTACTCCGACTATCAAAGATATTAACTGTACCGTTCAGAAGACCCGTAATCAATATGTCGGGTTGATCGGGAGAACATACTAACCGCCAGCAAGTAGTTTCCGGGAAAAACTCGTATAATGGAGTGGTTTGTTTATTTATGTCCCATACATAGCAAGTAGTTGGTAACATCATATCTTTTGAGTAATCTTGATAACTGTAGGATGTAACAAGTTTAGGTGTATTTTCATCTGTCCAAACAATGCAAGATACTGGACGTTGATATGGATCTGTGAATACATTTGCAATTTGAACGTTGTATTTTTCGACTGGCGCTTGAAGGTTCATTGTAGCAAAGTATGTTTGGTACATGTCGATTGCGTTATTTTGATCAATACAATGTTCCAGTTGTGGCTGTAGGCTTAGTATTGCACGAACATACCCGTCCTCGTGTTGAACACGCCGTCTGTGCCGAGCTAGGTGATCTTCATTGTAAAGATGGACATCACGGGGCCAACCGCCTTCAGTATGATTTATGCCTTGCTCGTGCATTACCAATTGTTTCGTGTTTGCTTCGTGTTGAGATTGCGGCATTGTTGCTTGTATTTCTCGGTGAACAGGATTGCGAAGTACATACTGTTTCTGCTCCTCGATATTGGGGTTAATAGAGTCTATTAGGTGCGCAGGTACGTCTTGAAACAATGGTTGTCTACCGAGGTTTTTGCGAAGTTTTGTATATGCATAGGTCGATCTAACGTAGCTTTTCATATTGTTATTCGTTGTCAACATTTCTAAGTAACCTTCCGTGACGTTGGTGAAGTTTGAATAATAAATTTTATAAAACACGCAGGCCATGGTAATGGTGCCAGAATTGAATGAGTAAATAATTTAATGAATTCAAACTGTCTTGAACTGAATAAATAAGATGATCTTTATTACATTTAAATTACATAATTAAAAAAACTAGAACACCGAGTTACGTATAACGAACATCTAGTAATTTTGAAATTCATTTCATAACGAGACTTGCAAAAATGTATTTAGTGGATGCATAACGAAGATAATAGCACCATTAAGGGTAATAAGTATGTGTGCAATGCTATATAAAAAATAATAAAAATTCCGCAAACGTGTAGGATGTATAAAAATTCCAGGAAATATCGCAATGTGTGATTGGAATTATTATGCATTAAGAAATCTTATTGTCCACGTTGTTAGCATAATATTATGCGTAAGAGTTCGAAAAGCTTTGTTTTGGTGTCGCAATGTGTTTGTGGCTTTGAGACTTCGTGTTTTACTTAGATATGCTTAACACAACTTTGACCCAGCATTTTATGGATTCGGTCGGTGTACCTCAGAGATATTGTATTCCCAAACATTTAAATTTGCTAAAGAAATACACTAAATCCTTACTAAGATTCAATCCTCTTTAAGTGTCTTAAAATATTTCAATAGAAAATAATATTTTTTCAAAACAATTTAATGACGCATAGATACGACTTGTTTACCTGTTTAGTTCTTTTGATTCAAATTAAAAAGACCGTATTTTAAAATTGAATGTAGCTTTAAATATAAAATAAAATTAATCAAGCACTTCTTATATAAATTAATAAAATCAACTCACAGAATTAACAAATGCAATCCAATTGATAAATAACACAAAACCACATTTTCCCAAAACACTTGAACACAGTTTTTATACACTTTCTAATAAAACGTGCGCGTACGCAGACGCGACCGTCCGTCTCGTGGATAGCGCGTGACTGGTAGTAAGTTGTAGCTTAGTTTATCGTTGAACAAAGTACTTAGGGACTGGTTTCGAGTTCCTCACGATTACGCTACTTTTCTATGAGGGCCGTGCTAGTTTCCATTTCTTTAGCTGACCCTTTACGACTAGCAATAGTTCCTGTTCGGACGCATTCTGATAATCTATAGTTTTATGACAGTTATTGTGCTAAAAGTGTTTCTGTTAATATTGCGTTTTTATAGGTATTTCCTTGTACATGGTTTTCTATGAGAGTAACGATTACTTGAGTATCCAATGAATTACAATATACCATGTTTAGTTTTAGAGATAAACAAGAAACCTTATGAGGTGAGGTTGGGTATGAATATCAATTATAAAATGACTGAGCCTTGTAATTAAAAAAAATAACACACTAAATTTCAAGTGTCTCGGAGTTAATCTGTTCAACAAAAGATCCAAGCTGTTACAATTCATAATTTTAATAATTTGTATATCTATAATGCAAACTTTGTTAAGAACTTATTTACATATAAGCCTATGTAAGTCTTTTGTGATTTTTCAATAGAAAAGAAGAAGCAAAAAATTTCCCCAAATATGAGGATTGTTTTAAATGGCGCTGCCGTGTCTATGTAATAAACAATTTGCAAAACAACATCGCATTCTAGGAACACGGATCACGTTCTTCGAACTTGTGCACAATAGGTGTTCCTTATCGAAATTAAACAATGAGTACTCAATACAATATGTACCTGTTTTAATTACGATTTAAAAACTGTGAATCGCCCTTGCATTTCATGACGTGGTTCGTGGTTCGTGGACGTAGAAAAGCAATTTTTGTTGATTGGAAAGAGGCAGAAACGAGAGAATAGTTATAACCGACTTCGATTAGAACGTCTCAACCTTCAATGTCCCCGCCAGCCTATGGGGCCAGTGATGTTATTCAATTGTTATTTTTAGCTCAGAAGGTCATGATCAGTTTGAGGTTGAGTTTTCTACATTTAATTATGAACGTAAGTCCCAAATAAAGAAAAGAGAAAACGCCCACCAGAAACCTGGGACGATGAAATAAAAGAGATAGCGGGGAAAGATTGGAAAAGAGTAGCGAATATGAGAGACAAATCGAAGAATTTGGAGGTGGCCTTCACTACGTCAGAGGTCGTATACTAACATCAAATGTAATCTTAAAATATTATAAAATAAAAAAAAACATTTTAAATTTATTTTATGTTTATAGTCCCAAGAAAAACACCAAAGATTTAAAAGATACAGTTTAACCAACCGAAAAAAAGACATACAACCACCGAATCAAGAACCTCCTTATTCTTTTAAGGGGGTAAAAGTTATAATTGAAATAAAAACATACATGTATGTTTTTATTTCAATTATAACTTTGTATGTATCCGCTCCATGCCCTGTTAGGTTTTACAAAACTTCAGCTTTTGACCACTCAAGATTTGAAGATAAAAACCAGATTTGTATCTGTTTTATGGGGTACGTGACTCGCCATGTGTTATTAAGGTTTTAATTAAAAATTGCGTTTGAGTGGCGAGTTAACAGGGCTAATTGGTCATAAGACGGTTGTTAGGTCAAATTACCCATGGCCCCTATATTGCCAATAAATGTAAGGCCAGTGTCTTAAAAGCTGTATGACCGTGTTATTCTTTCATTTATTATTTTAAAAAAAATGCAATAACAGTAAACAGTCAAGATATAAGATACTGAAAGCTTTACCAAGAATATTATACAATATATAATATGTCAATTCCATGAGCAGTGTTGGCCTAGTCGCTTCAGCGTGCGACTCTCATCCCTGAGGTCGGTTTGATCCCCGACTGTAACCCACTGGACTTTTGTATCTATGTGCGCATTTTACAATCGCTCGAACGGTGGAGGAAAACATCGTGAGGAAACCGGCTTGCCTTAGACCCAAAAAGTCGACGGCATGTTTCAGGCATAGGCGGCTGATCACCTGCCTATTAGATTTACAAATGATCATGAAACAGATAAAGAAAATTGAGGCCCAGACCTAAAACGGTTGTAGTGCCACTGATTTATTTTATTTTTAAGTACCTAAATATACTTTTATAACGAAGAACAAGATTTTGCGTGACATTTACACGTTTGTATGCGCTTTCTATGATTTATTTTTAAATATAATGTTTGATGTCATTAGTAACTCTACCAAATTTAATGATCATAGAACTTGTAATTATTCGAATCACGCTCGTATTTTGCAATAATAATCTCGTAATAAGCAATGGAAAACCAACAATTTGCAAAGCAACAAAATTGCGGTATGCATTTTTTTGTTTTGTAAAAATAGTCAATTACGAGTAGATATTATTTTTATAGAATGGGCCATGAATGTAAACAGAAGCAATGATGTTGACGATACCAATTGACTATGTGAAACAAAAGACAAAACGGTGACGCGTTTCGTTTGATTGTGATTGGTCAAACGGAAAGATTGTCGTGCGTTTGTGATTACGACTAGAGATCCTGTTGTCAACAAAGGGGTATTCGACATTTCGTCTTTGGTTTGGAAATAATTCCAGGGGTTGCCATCTCTACGTTGCGGTGTTCCGTTGTAACGAAGTACACTAAAGTTGAAGACGGGGGTATAAATGCCCCGTATATCTTACGAATCAAATAGCTTGTCTTTGTACTTTTAAATATCTTAACGATATAAAAGAACTGATAATGTATAAACAAAGGTTGTTATACTGCATTTCATCGGTCAGTTTGAAGAAATTGTTGTATTCTTTGCAGACAATGAACAATGGAGTGTGCCGACGAACCAATGAAATGATTATCACGCTTTGTTTGTGCATACCTATAGGCTAGATATTTGTTTTAGTCTCGAAACCCCACAACGGGGCACAGGCTCATTTCTGCATTTGTTTCAAGCAAGTGCTTTAAAAAAAACGTTAGTGTACTTATGTACACGTGTTAGAAATTATACTTTTTTGGGGTAAGAAGATAAAAATCTTTACAAAAATTTTATCTTTCACCTTATACGCCTTACGTTTATAGAAAAAACAACACTAACAATAGAAAAAATTTACTCTCATCATTTTTCCCTAACACGAACGCGCCAAAAGAAGTATAACTTTAAAACTATATTTCGGGTGTCAGTTTTTTGTGACGGTGTGCGCGCGCATCGTAAAAATTTACTCTTATCGTTTTTCCCTAACGCGCCAAAAGAACTATAACTTTAAAAAGCAAATCAATAATGTACTCTGTAGAACCTCCGGGCGTTAATTATATATTTAATAATATGTAAAAAATAAATGATTTATTGATTTATATTTTGGGTCATTTCTTTGTGATATCACAAAGAAATTAAAAAAATAGAGGTTTAAATAATACTTTATTGAGTTACTTAGTAGCTGTATTCTATTTAACACATCTGAGGAGAGTCAACGAAGCATTGTCAATTGACCTTGTGTTAGGTGCCACCCTTCCTAATTGGTCCTTTGTAGGCTGCATCAATCCAATCACACGTACGCTCCCAATTTATATTCCATTTACGATGGCTCCTATTGTGTAATACTTATACAAACCTCTGTAAGTGTACAGTGTAAAATGATAAGTTCCATGTTCCATGTTTAAACACGTTTTGATTTTTTATATCCAAGAAGTTTTTATACCGTGATTAAGTTTTGTTCTAGTACGAATATAAACTAAAACGAAGTAATCTCTTTACAACTGATATGTCTAAGGAACGCCGGGTTTTTCATACTTTCAGGAATAAAAGGGGGCTAATGCAGTTCGTTTGGTGAGGTGACTTCGTATGATGTTTAAACAAAGGCCCCAATGGCATAAAGTATATGCATTTATATCTGTATTGCAGTTAAAACACCTATGGTTGGAGTGCAAATAATCACACGGCACATCATACGTTGGAGGATTGTCCGCAGTAGTCTTAGCTACGTCATAATCTTTGTTCTGTGATGGGTAATAACCTTGTATTGCCTTGAGTTGTCCAAAAAATGGTCAGCAGTGACGAGGTATGGAATAC